ACGCACCACAACTGCGAAAGTAACGACTCTGTCATCGAGATGTCTCGCGCAGAGCTGCTGTGTGGATGTAATTCCGTACGTCAGAGGTGTTCGGGCCGATTCCTTCGCGCAAGACTTAGCGAAGCCCCGCGGAGCCATGATGAGGCTGCAAAACTATGGCATTACAAGTAGTAGGCTACGGAAATGAGTATCAGAATTCGGATACTTTGCTTTTCAGCCCAAATCGACAGATCTAACATACCGACAAGCGGGCTCAGAGTAAAACGCATACCACACGGCTTGTGTGCAGGCAAGTCCACCCTACTTCTACAGACACAACACTTGCTAACATTCAAGCAGATCGTATCTTAGACTTGGCAGCATGTTCATAGTCTACCAAATCCACTTTTCCATTCTTACAATGTTGTGCAACTTCCTGCCTTATGGGACCAAAGATTGCCAAGGCCATGAACTGATGGGGCATCGTCCCTGCTGAACCACTTCCTTAGCGTCTGAAACCTTAATTACACTTCTGTCCACTCCCCGCAGACCCTCCCGCCTACTGACCACTACTGCCCCAACCTCTTGTGCAATTTAACCCTCCACTGAGTTCCTTCGCATATCATACGCGAACGTACGAGAGCTCTCACACAAGTCATATCCTTTCAGTCCTCCTGGGTATCCTTCTTTGGGCAGAGCGCGTCAGTTCCGTACATCATAATGTGAAGTCACTGCGAGCGCGTCAGGGTACTTCCACATCCACTGCTAAATTCCCTTATCAGAGTATCGGTCGCCCAGAGGGACCTTCAGACTACCGCAAGTTCGAGTTCTGCGCCCGTTTTCCCTTCGATATATTCCCTACAGCCTGTTGTGCGCGGAAGCCCGATGGCGCTTCATACACAATCTGTAAGCAAACATTGCACTCTAATGACCAACAGGACCGCAGCTGGCACATTACCATGCATATAACACGATGCAACTATGTTCGACTCGATCTCCATTCTTTCGTCGTCAGAATCAATTCCACGCCGCCTGACATCGCCTTCCATCAATGGTGACGAGCGCACCTCGATGAAACGACTCTGGTCCGTAACAAAAGCTCATACTGGTCTTTCATTATCCTGCATGAGCTATGTCGGTGTTGGCGTTGAGTTCGCTGATTGAATATCGCCATGCAATCGATGCCAGTACAAAGCCCAGAGAAAATACTCTTGCCGTCTTCGAGCGCGCTTCCAGACTGACTCATCACCCGAAGTCATCCCTTATCCTAACACGTTCCGCATGGTCTTCCCTTGCAGAGTTTCAATCCTAGTGACCGGCCTATATTTGGTTGATGTCATTACATCAGTTCTCAAGAGAACATAAACGTCCAAGAGCTATGATGGTAATGATTAGCTCTACTGACGTGATGGAACTGCTCATGCGAAGGAACAAGATCAAGCTTGCAATTTGCTCTTGTCTATTCCTCCTTTGTCTAGTTCCAAGACTCATTTGTTCCCACTGCTGTCCACCACTGGATGTGAACTCGGGCACCAAGGCAGCATTTCGTCCATCTCTGCTAAACTCTGTAGCTACCTATCCGAAAAGCCACCTACGCTTTTAAGTCTCCAGGATCTTCAGCCGCTTCGGTCAAGACATAATCGAATACAACTGGTATGTTGCTGATCGGGCATACTACGCAAGGAACATAAAGAGCCGGGAGTCTACAAGAGGATCACAAATACCACATTGGGAACTAAACCATCCAAGGCTCCACATCTTCGGAGACGATTCGCCATACGGGTCCAACGAATACCTGTTACCTGTAGTCTCCATGGTAAGTAGCTTGAAACGTGACGCGGACCGTGACATGCTCTACCTCAACTCGAAAGCAACTCCACATCAAACGTCACCGCCGGTTTGCCACCCTGATTCCCACGTCACCAAGACTTGTGAGCGCGGGGTAAGGGCGTAGATGTGAACACCTCGTCACGTGTTTGTGGTTCACACAGACTTCGCGCTATCATCTTTCCGCGCCGATACCGCTTATATCAAGCGTCACAAAGATCTCGTGGATATATAATACTCGTCCTTTAAACTTACCCGGCTCTTCTCTACAAATGCTCTTGTGATTAAGAGATCACGATCTCAAAAGCTCAAAGTCGCTCTCTCACTTGAACATCGTCGGCCACACCACCCAGCAAGCCAATTGCATGTTTAACTCTAATTGACTGGTCGGAGCTCGCGAGTAGTGTTTCTATCTTCGCACACAGTACTTCGCAGTGCGCTTTCAAGCTGGTCGAAAGTCCGGTCCCTATCCCATATCTCAACCTATCCTTTAGCCACTTGGACTCAAACGAAAACAACATCGAACTATCTTTCCATAATCAACATCCAAATCGAAACGTATCAAGTACATTTGGCCTTACAAGGTCCATCTGGACCACTTTGGGTTACCTATACTAGGTGAACGTCGTCCCTTTGTGGCTTAACTGCGCGGCTTCAGTCACTACGCCCGCGAACTCTTAGTAGCCTCAACCGAACAGAAGGCGGCAAAGACGATATACAGACTGCAACGGTTAGGAACTTCTTTGTGTACGTTCTTCCGGCGTCTCCCGTACTTCAAGCCGTCTTTCTCTGTTTGCAACGAGTAAAGATCGTGTTGCTGAGGTCTTGGCTGAGCGTACCCTGAGCACGTCCGCGCTACAAACAAATTGGTCGCCTGTGTTACTGGGTTTTCCAGGAGCTCAAAGCCGCTAGCGCCTCGTCTGCCTCCCCAAAGGTCTCCTCTTGTAGCTGGTTGACCTACGTCTCTCCACCCGCATCACACTTACGAATTGCATTCTACTATCAGGTACGTACCGCAATGGCTTAACTACTGCTTCTCCTATATCTCCCCTACCTGCATTTATTCAAGAGACACGGATGCAGCCTTTCTGGGTCGCTGTAGCGTGTGCTATTGATCGCCCTCCGCTCCTAGCCCGAACACAACACGCCATTTCTGGCGCTCAGTATGAACCGTTGTTTGACCCCACACTAACAGCGAACAGAAAACCTTTGTGACACTTGGTCTCTCGCCGCTTCTGGTAGCTAAAGTACTGGAGATCATGTCCTACTCTCACAACAACCAGCTAAATATGGTTAGCCTGTTTGACGAGGAACATCCACAACCCTTCAACAAGCGCAGTTACGACATGACGCGTCTTCACCCCAACAACCCCTACCACGGCCTCCCTGGTCAGGCTGCCGCCGTCTCTCCCATCAAGATCGAGGAAGGTGCTGCCCCTGTGAGTTATACCCCCACATATGACAGCGACTACGTCGAAAGCGATCGCGACGACCGGCGACCATCCAAGATCCCAAAGATCAACAAGGATGGTGTGCCCCGCAAGCCACGCCAGCCTCGTCCCAAGCTACTCAAGTGGAGTGACAACGATTGGAAGAACGTAGTCCTCGGTATCGTCTGGGCCTGCGGTGAGACTGGCGTTCAGATACCGTTCGACCAGGCTGCTCAGGTTGTTGGAGAGAGCTGTACTGCTGGCGCACTCCAGCAGGCTATCTTGAAACTGCGCGGCAAACAGATCGACGAGGGCTACGAGATTCCGTCGTTGAGAATGGCGTGGACGCGCAAGAACAAACGTGCATCTTCTTCGGCGTCCAGTGCTAATGCAAAGCCTCAGCAGACAACCGGTCAAGGTCAAGGCCTTACGACTCAGTCCCGTCCGTCTCTTATCGTCAAGCTCAAGGCTCCACTTCTTACTGACAGGAACTGTCACGGTGGTGTTACCATTGGCAAGAACTATATTGCACCCATTGAACCTCAGTTCTCCATAGCTGATGATATCCATTCCACTGGTGGCCGAGGCATCACTGTCGTTAGCGGTCTTCCAAATGTTCCCAGTGACTCCGGTCCCAAGTACCCCGATATTGTCAAGCAAGCCGTTCCAACTCAGTACAAGCGCGGCGCTGGTATGGACTTCGACTTCGAAAAGTACATCAAGGAGATGGAGGCGCAGAACTACGAGGAGGATGTCAAGGACCATGCTGAGTATGACTTTGTCAGTAACGACTCGCATGAGGATCTTCTTGCGTCGTCCGAGGCTGAGCAAGCTGCCATGAGTGGGTTCCTTCCTGAGATGTCTTCTCCGTTGGACCATACTTATGATTCTCCTTATAGCTTCTTCTCCCAAGCCTCGTCCGGTATTCGCCCGTTGGATCCAGCTTCCTCCTCGCAGCAAGGCCTCCAGGAAGCCTTTCCGCTACCAACTCATCTAGACACCGGCCACTTCCATGACTTCTTCGCACACGACGCATTTCCCAACTGCGGATATGAGTACGAATTCAACGCAGGACACTAGTAGGGGTAAGGCGGCGATGTGGTGACGGTCTGGTTAAATTCACGGTGTATCGGGTTCTTTTGCGAGCTACATGGCTTTGGTCAGTCCAGGTTTGAGATAGGATACCATAGCTTGACGCATACCATAGGTAAAAAATCAAAAGTTTGGGTTACATACTTGACCTCCTGTTCGAAGACCACGATGGTTAGTTTTGAGTGATTTGATAACGGTGATATGTCATAATCATGCCTACATGGTGAATCTAGAGTGCGACCTGGGTGGCATTACCCCCTCTGACCGACTACTAAGGTACCTGCATGTGGCTTTTGGTGTTGTTGATGACACCGATCTTGCTGTCTTCATAGTCAGTCTCATCCATGATATCAGAATCCATCATCTACTTGGATAATCGCCACACGGGTCACATTACACGTATTCACATGAACCCGACCGCTGTAGATCAAACTCCTGCCTTTCACATAGTGTAGGTCACACAGCATAACGCACAATACTGACATCCGCTGTCCTCGGTTTCTCCCACCTTCAAGGCTCAGCTAGTTCTTTAGCTTCTCACAACCACAACATGGGTATCTTCGGCAGAAAAAACAAGGGCCGGATCGTTTCTCCTACCACTCTCATTCCGCACAAGCAGATGCAGCCCGCGAGTTATGCGACCTGCTGAACGCAGGAGGTAGACGCATGCCCATGAAAGCACGACAAAGAGGACCGGGTTATCATTTCAAGTACCCGGATCCTAACGGCTTCGAACACTCGCTTTGTATCGATGAGAATGATAGGGTAGTACCAGTAGCTGATATGCATGGAGGAGGTGGCCACAGAGGCGGCGATTTTCAAGGATTGGGGGGAGTCGATCCGCGGCAGATGATGGCGATGCAGAGGGATCAGTTCCAACATCCCGGACAAATGCATATGATGCCAGCGCAAATGCAACCAGGAATTCAACAGCGACGACCGTGGGATATGCAACAGGCACAGCAAGTGGCAGAGCACCAACAACGCGCACGACATCACAGCCAGCCTCATGCTCAGCCATTGGCACAGCCTCAACAAGCGGGAGCTCACGATTCCAACCGACCCATATTCCAGAATCCCTTCAAGGAGCCTTTGCCTCAAGGTTCCTACGGTAAGCGCGAGTACGTGCCAGGTCAGGAAAAAATCAAGGTTAGCGACTATGGGCCGCGCGCCGATAATCCGGGGACGGGTTGGGATTTGATGCAATTTTTGAACCAGTTGCGGAAGCAGGACGGGCGAGGTTGACGAGAGATAGACGGAGGGGACAGCTACGCAAAATACGATATGAGAACCAAATGATGGGTTCCGTTCCTAACCCACCTGTAGTTACGCATGACCTAGCTGATGTTCCTAGTCTTAGCATGTCGAGATGATCCATGCTCGATATGTGTATCAAGGTCTCCAGGCTTTCCAGTAGCGAGATGCAGCATTTCAATCAGAGATTCGACCGTGGTATATTTCAACATGCTAACAGAAAATTCGACTAAGCCGTTCGTGACCATAGGTAGACTCGATTGACCTTTTTGTACCAAAAATGATATTTGGCAAGAATGGACGCGATAAGTAGCAAATATCGTGTACATTACAAGATGTTATACGACTATGGCAGCTAAGTCTTAGCATATCATTTTGTACTCATGACATTCCGCTTAACGACCATCTCTTCACATATTTCTCCAGCCACAAACATCCCACTTTCCGCCCCTTCCATTACTATCCATCACTATATCCACCATACACTTCCCCCCTTCCCCATCGCATCCTAGATCTCAACCTTGGGCGGGACAACCGCCTCATCGTGCTGCACGCTCCTCTTCCTCTCCTGGTTCTGCGCCACCTCGCTCAGACTCATACTACGCCCAGTCTTAGGATCCATCTCCGCGAACTGAACCGCAGGGCGGAACTCCTTGCTCTTCCACGCTTTGCCGATGATACCGTAGAGCTCGTCGACTTGTTCGAGAGTAAGACCTTTGGTCTCGTAGATCATGAACCAGACGAAAGCGATGCAGACGAAACAGAAGGAGCCCCAGACAAAGAAGACCTTTGATTGGAGGTTGGCGTGGTCTTCGTCGACCATGTAGGGGGTTGAGTAGGCGATCGCCCAGTTGAGCAACCTGTAGTATATCGTTAGTCTTTGGAACTGACACCAGTCTAAGAAGCATCTATACTTACCAGTTACTCGCGGTGGTCATCGAGAGACACTTGGCGCGTGCCTTGAGGGGGTATAGTTCTCCAGTCACGACCCAAGCAACAGGACCCCAAGAGCTGGCGAAGAAGAAGATATAGATGCACACGAAGGCGATAGCAGCTCGTTGAGCGGCGAGATCGGAGGTTCCGGCTACTGTTCCTGTGATAGCGACGATGTACTGGCATACACACATGCCGATCGCTCCGAGAAGAAGAAGGTTACGTCGTCCGAGGCGCTCAACCATGTAGAGACCGGCTAGAAATCCGAGAGTTAGTATTTCGCAAACCGAAGCTCAGACATCATAAGCTTACGGAATGTAGATGCGACGTTGACGCAGTTGGTGATGACCTGGATGATGAAGGGGTCGCGGAAGCCAGCGTTCTGGAAGTATTGTGTTCCATAGTCTGGATAGGTCAGAAGAAGGCCACGACAGCGCTGATTTGAGGGACATACAGAAGATGAAGTTTACACCAGTAAGCTGTTGTAGCGCCTGGAGCAGACATCCAGTCGCGAGACGCTTGCCAAGTGTTCCCTTGAAGCAGTCGGCATACGTAGACTTGCCCAACGACATCTCGTAGAGATGGTTCGCTTGAACCTCGCCCAATTCCTCAACGATAGCTGGATGGTCGACTGGCAAGCGACGAAGCTTGCCAAGACTGCTTGCAGCCTGCTCGTATTTGTCCATCTTGATGAGATATCTCGGTGTCTCGGGCAGGAAGAAAAGTCTAGTGACGAATTAGCATCGGCCATTAACTGTCTCGTATTGAGGCTCGTTCGCACGTACCCGCCAACAAGAATGATAGACCAGAGGAATTGTACCGCAATAGGAATGCGGTATGATCCAGAATCTTGACGATCCTTGGTCGAATTGTTCACAATAGCAGCGAGTAGTAATCCGATCGTGATAGCAAGCTGGTAAGCTCCGACAATCGTTCCTCGAATCCATTTTGGCGCAGTCTCACTCTGGTACATAGGAACTGTCGTCTTGTTAGCATTAATCCAAGTGAGGTAGATGCCCCGCAGAGCCTCAAGGATGCGGGGCAAAGGGCGTTCAAGCCACCATTGACGATCAACCCCACATCACATGTGGTGAATTGAACGCAACAAGCGATGGGTGCACTTACTCAGAGCTGAGATGAGACCGACACCATAACCGGCGAAGAAACGACCGGCAATGAACAGCGGTTGCGCTGTCGCAGCCGTCTGTAGAATAACTCCAAGGTTGAAAACGGCGCCGGCTGAAACCATCAATCCAAGACGTCGGCCAAGCAGATCGCCGAAGGGTGCAGCCGTCAAAGCGCCGAAAAAGGTACCAGCTGAGAGAATTGACACGATCAGGGAATCTTGCGCAGCTGTGATGCTGAGGTCTGGCTCAGTGGAGAACTCCTTCTTCCAATAGTCCATGGCAATGATGCCAGAAATTGTGCCTGTATCATATCTAGGCAAATCAATATATACTCTTGAACGTTGCAATAGTACAAACGTACCCGAAGAGAACACCACCAAACGCGACGAAGAGACCGATTACAATGGCAGGCCTTGACAAGCGTTAGGCAAGCACTCAATGTGGAGAACGTATGAAGCTTACCATGCCTTACCAGCAGTGTCTGGCGGAGGCTTCAGCATAAAACCCATGATGCCGAGATGCACTTGGACAATGTATAGGTGTTAATTGAGGATATTGCAAGCTCGAGGCGCGCGGTGAGGCCGTTCAGAAGAGCGCGCATTCACTCTTTATCTCAGAATGCTAGCCCCGAGTATCTCTCCATCCAGCTTGCTATGCCGACGAATCCTTGTTCCATGCCGCTGCAGCTTCAGTGCATCATCACAGGCTGCTAATCCTAGTATGTTTCCGATGCCAGGTATCATTGCATGGATCGTCCCCGCATGGCACCATTGAGCGTACCCGAGCTGGTTATTACCCCGTGCTCGACATGCTGACTTGGCCTCACACCACTTACGTCGGCGGCTGATATTGAGACAGCGATCATGAAAGCCTGTGTAGTCATCCAATAGCACATTGTCAGCAGATCAGACAAAGGCTGATGTAGTGCTCAAGTCGGGCGAGTTTGCACATGCACTAGCATGTCAATGGTCATTCCGGTGTAAGCGCGTACAGGTAGAGCCGTTATGCAAGGAATGCACGTTCTCTGCAAGCAGGATAAGGCCTTTTTCCAGAAGGTTGACTTTCCCCAATAATCGGGTCAGGCGTTCGGCATGTCGAGATGGAATGGGCCGATTGTCTCCTTGCAACCCCAGGAACTGGAGTGGAGATCTTGTCGGTAGGATTCTCGGTGCGATGTGAGCAAAACATTTTCAGGCATCTTTGCCCCGCGCATCACCAAGGTGCTGACCGTGGAGTTGGATGCCCCAGATTTCGGTCGCATGCAGCGCCACCCTGTCTTGTTGTCAACGCTATCAGAAGAGGCATTGGAACATGTGCTCGTGATGTTTGTCTTGCTCAGGCGTATAGTTTGCCGTGCGATCCTTCGAGCCAATAAGCCTTCGCTTCCTTTCGCTTTTCAGAGCTCGGCATTGCTTGGACCGATGCGGTGACTCGAATACACTCTCGGCGCAGCACCTGGATAGCGTGATCGATGATGAATGGCCGACTGAGCAAGCATGCTTGACATGTGCCGTGCCGTGACTTCGGTCTTACTGTATCCATGAATGTCTCTACTGTAGGGATATTCTCGGGGCATGGAAAGATGGTTCAATCAACGGTTGAGGTTGATGAAATGTGGAGGTACTCCGGGGTTAGTTGCGGAGGCTGACAGGCCCGTTGGTGGCGCCGGCGGCCCCTAAGGGCACTGATGCATCGTTAGAAGCTGCGAGGACGCTTTTTTGCGCCATCACGACTTGATCGTGCCCTCAGCAATCTTTTTGCCTGAGGCTGCAATGAAAGCTCTCCATCGATCTCCAGTCCACGGCGAGATGATGAAAAATTGGTTGCGAAAGCGCGCCACCGAAAGTGCAGCGATGATTGATGTTCGATCGCGAGAACTATAAGACTAGCAGCTAATTTAGTAACTACGGCAGCACTACCAAATCGAAAAGAGCCGCTCATTTGTTTGAAGAAAAACGGCGCGCACCTCACCACGACGTGACGATCACGGTAGTAGTGGTGATAGTCTACTGGAGATTGCAAATGCATAGCATGGTCAGTCGCGACCCACCTAACAAGCTTCCCTGGTAGCCTTGTTAGGTGGGTCACAACTGCGATAATCAGTTCAAACAGGCATCTGTCCAGATAGTTAGGAAGTCGCGATGTGAGAACTGGATTGAGAAACACATAGACAGATAAAGACACTGATTCATCGACGATAAAACTCTTCTGATCATGCATTGGTATCTAGTAAGAGCCCAAAACTCCTGCTTTTGTCTCCTCTGTTTTGCACTTCAAATCACTACGCCTTGTTCTTCTTCTCACCACTCTTTCTCCGCGCCTTCTTCGATTCCACCTTGGTTTCCTTTGCGCTGACACCATTCGAGGTAGTAGCGACTTCAACGCCACCGCCCTTCTTCTCCTTCTTGCCTGACTTATCCTTCACGCTTACATCGCCGTTCTTAGCCTTGGGTGACTCCTTTGTGGCCTCCTTTGTGGCCTCCTTGGGCGCCTCCTTCGCCTTCTTCTCTGGCGTGCCATTGGCAGACTTCTCGCCCTTTGGTACGACAGCCCTAGGATCCTTACCCTTCCTGCGCATGGTCTTGGCCTTTGCTTTTTCAATGTACTTCGCGTCTTCCTCCTCATCGAAGCCACCAAAGTCTGATTCCTCTTCGCTGTCAGCACCGATAGGTGTGCGGTCGACCATCTCAACTTCAGTAGCTGCGTCCTTGGTGTTGGCGGTGTTGTTGGTCTTCGCAGTCGAAGCCTCGTTGACACCAACGGCGTTGGGAGGTGTGGGTCCGATCTTCTTGAACTTCGCGACGAAGAAACCGTCGACGTTGTAGGTGTGAGGGTAATATCTCCTTGTCATCTTCATTGAGGGGTGGAAGATCTTGCCGCCGATGTTGGTGAATCCTTCTTTACCAAAGGTGAGTCCGGTCTCCACGAGCTTGACGTTCGATCGCTTGTTCAACGCATATTGTACGACTTGCTCGTTCTCTTCTAGAGTGATGGAACAAGTACTGTAGACAATGTAACCTCCAGTCTTTGAGTGATGGTTAACAGAGTCAATGGCCGCGAGCAGCAACTGCTTCTGAAGATGGGGCAGCCTCAAGAAGTCTGCCTCGGTTTTGTTGGTCTTGACACTGGCATCCTTGGCGATGACACCAGTACCAGAGCATGGAGCGTCGAGCAACACACGGTCGAAACCACCCATAACCCTAGGGAATTCGAGAGCCGAGTAGTGGGACACGATGACGTTCTTTGCGCCTAGACGGTGGATGTTACCGATCAAACCCTTGGCACGATCTTTGTTGGCATCGTTGGCGAAAATGCATCCTGTGTTCTTCATCAAAGCGGCCAAATGTGTAGTTTTTCCACCGGGAGCAGCAGCCATATCGAGCACGCGCTCGTTTTCTTGAGGTGCCAAGGCCATGACGGGCAGGAACGAGGAAGCGGCTTGGAGGATGTAGTGTCCAGCGAGGTATTCCTGCGCAAATTAGTGTCGGATGTCATTGCATCTGTCGCATATAGAACTTACGGGTGTAGCACCCAGAGGCACTTGTGCATCGAAAATCTGTAGACCGACTTTAGACCACTTTCCAACGGGTTCAAGTTGTACACCACGGTTGATCAAGCTTTGCGCAAGCTCTCTTCGGTGTGTTCGGAGAGTGTTTGTTCGGATGACGACTGGTCTTGGGGTCTCGTTGGCTTCGAAGAAAGCTTGGGCTTCGCGGGGAGGGAAGAGGTTCAGAAGCTTGTCTGCAAGGAACTCGGAGTAGCCTGTTCATAATGTTAGTATAGCTCTAGACGATAACTTCAAACTTGGACGTACCGTAGTAGGCACATATATCCTTCAGGAGCGACGCTCTGTACTCTGCTCTACTCCGACCTTCCTCGGCAAGGTTCTTGAAGTCGTCCAGCACACGGATGGTGTCTGTAAGTCTTGTGCGCAGCAGCTGGATATCCTGGTTGACAAGGTTGGTGATCGGCCTGCCATCCTCGTCCTCTTCATCCTCCAGAATCTTGGGTCGCTCATTGGCAATGTTTGTCTGCATGTTGTTCTCTTCCAACTCAGCTTGCGCCTCCGCTTCCTCGATCGCCTTCTGCATATCCAAGCGTGTGGACAATCCGGCAATGTTAGCGGCTGTGAGCTTCTCTTCAGCATCCTCCTCATCGTCGTCGTCTGACCACATGGCCGCACCCCTTCTGATGTCGTCGTCCGAGTCCACAACGTCCGAGTCGAATTCGTCGTCGTTCATCTCCTCGTCGTCTTCGTCTTCGGACGCGCTACCGAGGGCATCGAGCCCAGTGACGTTGATGTTCTCCATATCAGAGTCGTCAATGTCTGAGACATCCTCTTCGTCATCCGATGGCGGCTGAGGTGCTGACTTCTTTGACTTTGCTTTCGCTCCGTTTACGACAGCAGCAGCCGTCTTGAGAGGCTGCTTGACGGGCTTTCCAGCTACTCTCGTCTTGGGTGTCGCCTTCGCCTTGGCTTCCTTAGCTTCTCTTGCAGCTGTCCTACTCCTCTTCTTGCGCTCTGGGTTTACGGCGACGGGCGCATCTTTTCGCTTCCTGGTTACTAGCGATTCGTCGAGGACATCGGGCATGCCCTGCTTCTTCATGCGGCGACCTTGACCCATGGCGACAGATTTATCGCTTGATTTCTGGTGGGTAGTATGGAAAAAGGTCGAATAATTTGAGAGTTGGCGACGTGATGCCTGCGCGAACTGCGAACTTTCGCTAGCAGATGGGAACTTTTTCCACGCTACGGACCTCCTTTGGGTCTAGCGTGGTCTTGCCCTGGTCGAGGTGCGGTCCACTCAATGCTGTCCCGCAACACCAACAGCGTCATCGCATTGGAGCTATACACGTCTTAACGAGCGCGACAACCACGAACCCACTTGCACGTCATACGAAAGAAGGTGTCAGATATCCCACCATGTCAGAACTCGCATTCTGCAAATCATTTCTCAGCGCACTGGACGCGCGCCCAGCGAAGCTCAGCAGCGACCACATCGCAGACGCACGACAATATCCCGCACAAGGCGCCGTAAGACTCCCCCCCATATTTCTCATGGAACATCCCCCTGTATAACATCATGACTAAAGACTGACTGCTCGCCAGTACACACTCCCCCGCCTCCCGCACCCACCCCACCCACAGCGTCCAAACCCCAAGCCAGTCGCAGGCGACGATGCCACCACCTCTTCTTCGTCCACGATCACCGTAACACTCAAGCCCATGAAGCCGACCACCTCAACCATTCCTCTCTCCTCCATCGATCCCTCGAAAACTTCCGTCTACGACCTCAAGCAACAATACGCAACACAAGCCTCGTTACAACCAGCCAAGATAAAGATTCTTTACAAGAAGAAGCCAGTTACAGATTCCAAGACACTGCTAGAAGTTATAGGTACAGATGCAGGCAGCGAGGTAGAGTTTGGCGTCATGGTTATGGCGGGCGCTGCGCTTGGCGGGGCTGCGAGTCCGGCAAGTGGAAGCACGCCAGTGACAAGTCCACCCGCTGTTGCGCCGCCTACGGAAAGTGAGAAGGGGCTTGCTAGTGCGGGTGAGACGCATGCGGGTACGGCGACTGGGACAGCAGGTGCGACGGCTGGAAGTGGGAAGGAGGTTGTTGCGACAGAAGAGTTCTGGGGCGATCTGAAGAACTTTGTGCTGCAGAGAACCAAGGATGCCGAAGAGAGCGAAAGGCTGCTGGGTGTCTTTAGGGGCGCATGGGAACAGAACAAGTAGTGGACCGACATAGTTGCTGGGGACGAGCAATACACGTTGCAACATATCAGGCACAAACATTACAAACAAGTTCGCACACGTCACGTCATACGAGCTCTCGGTCTCAAGAGATGGTCATCGAAGACAATTTGACCAGTTTTAGCCTATCAAAAGCATACCAAGCCTGATAATGCAAGTTGCACCCGGCACTATCACTGCCCGCACATTCGCATGATGTATGCGATAACCATCATTCGCAAAAACTCGCTATGCCATGATCGCTGCCAATCAACCGCTCGAGTCGTTTTCGTCATGTGTCATTACCAACCGCTATAGTTTCCTTCCTCCATACTAACAGGTGCGCAAAATCGACAGGTCGGAAGCGGGGGAGGGAAGAGAAGCGCTTAACGGCCCTTGGCGACGCGGCTCTTGATGTTCTCGAACTCGATGTCGTCGGCGTCGTTGGCTTGGATATCGGCGGCGAGACCGTTCAGAGCGCGCTTGATGGCTTCCTTGGAGGACGAGTACATCATGCGGGGCTATTAAGTGTCAGTGAACCTTTCTTTCTGAATTATGTTTTCGTAACATACGTATTGTGGCGCATCATCTGGTGTCCAGCTGATGAAAGTGATCTTGCTCCTGGAGCCCTCGCCATTGTCAAGCTCGTACTGGACATCGAAAACGGCGTAGCGACCACCAATGCCCTCCTTGCCGCGGCGGTCCTTGCTCTTTGCATTGAGCAGCTTCTCACGGAAGACGTCAAAGTTGGCCTCCTTGGAAGTCTCCTCGACGACAATCTCCTTCCAGTCGTCGCTGATCTTGTAGATGATCCACTTGATGTCCTTGCCAAGCTTAAGCTCGTTGAAGGTGCTGATGCACTCAGGGGAGACGGAGACACTGCGTGGCTATTAGTATATGCGGGTCCGAGCTAGGGGTTGGCGGGATGGGGGTCGAGGATCGAGGTATGGGGAGGCTATGCTGGAGCGGTTGTTGGGCAGCGACAGCTGTTGGTGCCCTCTTGTTTGTTTCGCAGTACGTACCCGGATTGAGCCTGCAAACATTGTCAGTTCAGTCGTTCTAGCTGCGTATCTTCAAGGTGCTCACCATGATGTCGGATGTGTATAGTAGAGGATGCTAGAGAGAGATTGAAGCACCAGGTAGCTTTATCAGTTCTGTGGTTGCCTGTCAGCGTCGTCGTCATCGTCGCGATTGCCGCATGCGCAGATGCAGCAGTGGATCAACGGCTGCCTGCTTGGTGATGGAGAAATTGCGGCTTACGTCAATAGAGAAAACTGATTGTGGTGGATAGTCGATGTGAATGCGGGAGAAAGGGCGGAGGCGGAGGAGCGGTGTTCTGAGGCTGAGGGAAAGTAGTGGGGTCTTTTCAAGCGACGTAGTGGGGTGCAACACGGCACCCATTCCAAGGTTTAGTTTGTCCCTCTGCGGCGCCACAGCAACCGTGTGCCCCAGTTATGACAGGGTATCGGCCAATCCTATGCATCACGAAATTCATAAATGGAGCATGGACTCAGGCATAGTTGTGCATGGTGATTACATGTTTGGCTTGTTCGTATTCCTTCATCGCTTTATACATCTTGTCCTTCCCAGGAGATCTTTACACAATATTGTACAATAAAAACCAAATATCCAATAATGCTGCGCTTTTGAGAAACCATGAGTGAAGAGCGGAGACCAACCCAATATCGTGTACATAAATCATCACCGGGAAAGGCATAAGACTAAAGTCATTATAACGGAATGGGGGTATAAGAAGAAGAAAACAGACGGCTAGGCTTCATTTGCTTAGAAGCCCATTCCGCCCATGCCTCCCATACCTCCCATACCGCCAGGCATGCCGCCTGGAGGACCAGACTTCTCCTCGGGTGCCTCAACAATGGCGACCTCAGTAGTACCAAGAAGCGAGGCAACACCGCTGGCGTCAACGAGAGCAGTGCGGACAACCTTGAAGGGGTCAAGGATACCAGCAGCGATCATGTCAACGTACTCGCCCTTGGCGCTGTTGAATCCCTTGTTGAAGTCGCCCTTGTACTCGTCAATGAGCTTGCCAACAATGACGGAGCCCTCAGCACCGGCGTTCTCGACGATCTTGCGGGCGGGGTGGGTGATGGCGTTCTTGACAATGGTGATACCGAGCTGCTGGTCGAAGTTGGCAGCCTTGACGTTGCCGAGAGCGTTGGCAGAGGCCTTGAGGAGACCAGTACCACCACCGGGCAGGATACCCTCCTCAACGGCGGCACGGGTAGCGTTCAGGGCATCAACAATGCGGTCCTTCTTCTCGCCGACCTCAACCTCGGAGGAGCCACCGACCTTGATGACGGCAACACCACCAGAGAGCTTGGCCAGACGTTCCTGGAGCTTCTCCTTCTCGTACTCGGAGGTGGTAGCGTCGTTGATAACGCCACGGATCTGCTCGCAGCGCTGGGAGACCTGGTCCTTGCTTCCCTCACCGTTAAGGATGACGGTGTCTTCCTTGGTGATGGTGATGGATCCGGTAGAACCGAGCATGTCGGGGGTGGCCTTCTCAAGCTTGATGTCAAGGTCATCGCTGAAGACGGTACCGTTGGTCAGGACAGCGAGATCGCCAAGGATGGACTTGCGGTTGTCACCGAAGCCGGGAGCCTTGACAGCGGCAACCTGGAGCTGGCCACGGAGCTTGTTGAGAATGCAGACGGCAAGAGCCTCACCGTCAATGTCCTCAGCAATAATGACGAGAGGACGGCGGAGCTGCTGGGAGGCCTCGAGAGCGGGGACAATGTCCTGGACGGCGGAGATCTTCTTCTCAGAGAGAAGAATGAGGGGCTTCTCGAACTCGACCTTGGCGGTCTTGGTGTCGGTGATGAAGTAGGGGGAGATGTAACCACGGTCAAACTTCATACCCTCGGTAACCTCAAGCTCATCCTCCGTGGTCTTTCCCTCCTTGACGGTGATGACACCCTCCTTTCCGACCTTCTCCATGGCGTTGGACAAAAGCTTGCCAATGTGCGTGTCGCCATTGGCAGAGATGGTGGCGACCTGTGCGATCTCCTCGCTGGTGGTGATGTCCCTCTTGTTCGCCTTCAAGTATTCGACGACGGCCTCAACAGCAGCCTGGGTTCCCCTCCTCAGGTCCATGGGGTTGCATCCGGCAGCGACGTTCTTGACAGTCTCGGAGAAGATAGCGCGGGCGAGGACTGTGGCAGTGGTGGTACCGTCACCAGCAGCCTCGTTGGTCTTGGAGGCGACATCCTGGAGCAGGCGGGCTCCGAGGTTCTCGAACTTGTCCTGGAGGGAAATGGCCTTTGCGACAGTTACACCATCTGTGGTAATGTTAGCGGGCAGTGCTGACAACGAGGACAAAATTTCTACATACCCTTGGTAATCTTGGGCGAGCCGTAGCTCGACTCAATCAATACATTGCGACCCTTGGGACCGAGTGTTGTTGATACAGCCTTTGCAAGTGTGTCGACACCCTTCAGTAGTCCCGCTCGTGCCTCGACGCCGAACTTCAATTCCTGTATGTTTGTTAGATTTTGCCTTTCTGCATACCGAGGGCATACGACTGCCGTACCTTGTGCGCAAACCTCTGTTGCTGGAGGTTGTAGCTGGTGGATCGGAGCTTAGAGCTCGAGTTGAGGGCCGAAGTCCGCGCCCGCGATGCGAAAGCTCTTTGCATTGTGAGGGAATTGGGGATGTGTGGGTAGAGGAAAGGAAGCTCAAATGTTGCTCCTAGACTCCAGCTCAATGCAAGATAACCAGGAATAAGATTGATGTAGAGGAGGATGCGGAGAAGAGTGGTCGCAGATGTTCGATGCCTCTAAAAATTTGGGTCGGTCGACCACTGGAATCATCGAGAAGACGCTATGACCACATCCGCGAGCTAGCCTCGGCTTTGCTCCGTAACTCCATCTCCAGCCTCACCTTTCCATGTTTGTCAGCATCTGAATTTTTACTATGTTGTGGGCTCATAAGATATTGTGTACAATTCCTTTGTGGAGAGTATCGTGTGTTGATCGCACACCCAAATCATCACATCAGCTACCTAAGTAGGTACTTTAGCCTTCTGACTGACCAGCAACATATCGCCATTGATACTTTTGAGGCCAACACCAAATATCGAAAGTATTTCCCGCCGGTCTGCACTAAGGCTCACCGTTCCTGTCACCTTCTGAACTACCTCGATGCATCTCCAGATATGTAGATGTCCTTCGTCAAGCTGCCAGATCGTTCCCCTTGGTCCGCTGCTTAGTTCCTTCAGCATCTTCGTATTCCTAGCCTGTAAGATTTCCATCTTCGCTTCCGGGGCTTCTTCCTCAAGCGCTTTCTGTTTTGCAGCTTTCATCTCTTTCTTACTTTTTCCTTCTTTTGATATAGACAAGGCTAGCCCCTTTTCTGCATAAGCAGCGGTAGCTTGAGCCTTCAAAGGTCCTTTCCAGAAGTCCGCCTGAGGGGAGCTGTTTTCGTATACCAGGTGATAATACATTGGCTTCTCACCTTTTTCACTCAAGAGATGTAAGGGCTTGGATATCGACACGTTAGGCGGAGGCCAGCGAGCATCGCCGAACGGACACTGGTCCTTCTCTTCTGGTGTCAAGATTTTTTGACCTGAGTCAGTGCTGTTGCCGCTGCCGCTACCACCTGATTTTGGAGGTGTAAGTCGTGTTGGATCTATATGTTGAAGGGCCACCCCAGGAACTGATAAAACCTTTTGATCAAGCGCAGTTACTTCGTCATCGTAGACGGTCCTGGCAAAGTCGTGGATTTGTGGTTGACCGGGTTTTGGTGCCGCGCGGTTCTCTCGCCCATAGTTTTCGAGCGGATCTCCTCGTGGCGTGTGCTGCGGCATGTTTACCTATACGATAATACGGAGGAATGTAGCAGAGCGTAGTGCTGCATAGTCCTCGCATGATTATTGATTCAGCATGCGCGGCCATATGTCAATGTGTGGGAGTGAATGTCTGGCGCGCCAGACTATATGATGATGCTCTAGCGCATCACAACCACATCCTCGCAGACATGGTTTGCTCCTTGGTGTTGGATCGTAGCGAAACGCATCTTGTATGGCTGAAGCTTCGGACCAATAGTGAAGCTGTGCGACCCTCCATGCATATCAGGCAATAGAGCGCCTTCAGATAACAGGTAACTAGCTGAGGACTTCTCGATGGCCTTGCAAAAACACTGACGTGTAGTCTTCTAACTGGTACGTCGCTTCTCCAATTGCGTCTTCTTCAGGCACAGTGTGGTGTTCACCGGTCAGTCAAGAGACGTAAAGCCATCCGCATCGCCCAACCCTTAGCGCGGGGCACAAGTGGGCGCAGCACAGCTGGCTCCAACCTTCCACTCAACATGCACAAGGCATAGCCCATAGCTAACATCAAACGGTCCTGTAATAGTCCCTTCAAGACAGTTCCGTCAGGCCTGAGAACCATGCATCGCCGACCCATCGATCCAGCTTTGAGCAGCGCAAGACAAAGCCAGCGCAGGCGATTACTCCCATCTGACAGAAAAGGAGGTAAGATAACGGAGAGGTTCTCGGCATACTTCGATTACCCGTGGGATAAGATTGAAGAATATCTCAGAGGGAAAGATGGTCCAGCCTGGAAGACTTGGGATTTCAAGCCGACAAGAGTGCGCATTCACTGTCATGCGACATACTGCTTCAGGCTAACAGATAGTGCAGCTGAACGACAGTTGGGTTTTTGAAGTACCCGAGAAGTTGACTGAGGTGTGTTCATGATAGGTTTTTGCTATTGTGCATGATCTCACATTTCGCAGAGCGATCGAAGAGAATTAAGGAGTCGACGTGATGCACCGAAAAGGACCAGGCGACCATCAGTATCTTCGGAATCAGATGTTGCAGAGAACACTGAGACCTCTTGAGGCTCCAATATTTTGTGGATATGTTTGCACTGGAATCAGAGGTCTCGGGTGCTGTTGCTTCGATAGTACCTAGGTAGCTGGCGATCAGTGGAGCAGCCATTTCTGATGGGGAAGAATGATCTAGACGAAGGTAATTTGGCCAATCCTTGCAACTGCTCGCATGTTCCGTAGCTTCGCATGCACATGCATATGCATGCCTCACTCAAGCCCACAGCGGCTGAGCAAAACAAGCCACCTGGGGCCATGCCATCATCACCTGCCCTCGCCTTTGGCCTTGCGCCCACCTCCTCTTCCCTAGTTCACCCAAAATACTTTCATGACTGCAATTGCAACTCAAGTCGCTGAACAACCATACAACATGTTGCCGCCCACACTACAAGACTGTTACCTGAATCATGCAGAATATCCCATGAATCTTATTTCCAGCGAAACTGCGACTTACAAACACATGCTCAGATCTTACAAAGATCGGCTGGACGAGGCCGAGGCGGACTTATGCTTGGTAGATGAGGAAGACACAGTGGAGGAGATCTACGAGGTGCCGATAATTGATATGGCCACCAGCGATGGCAGAGGTACTTACTTTGCTGTCTGTAAAGATTTTTCGTGATCTGACCACTGTAGCCCTACACAAACGGAACATTCATAGCCCGTCCAAGCTTGAAAGATGGCTTGGGGTATCTATCATGGACGACCCCAATAGGACAGGCACGCAGCACGTACATACCACAAAACGAGATCCAAAATGCCGCTTCATGTAAGCAGACAATGACACATAGCGTGTCGCCCTGATCCAGAGAGATTGACCTCGTGCAGATATATCTACGGCGAAAATTCCCGTGACAAATTGAAAATTACACGCGCAAGCTTGACGCAGATACTGACATACCACCAAGTAATGCCTGTATATCTTGACTTCATGCTCATATTTGGGGCGCAAATCAGTGCGAAAGACCCTCACTTCTTTGGATTTCGCGAACGAATACGCTTTGAAAGTCCACCAATTCATCACACGGTCTTGGACTTGGGACGAAGCGGAAAGATGTTTCAGTTGTGCTTCAATCTTAAAGGTGTTGGCTTGTTCGAGAACAAAAGCAGCGAAGAGGCTGAGCTCAACGATTGGTCTATCCGAACCGTGTCAATTTATCACCGCTTTGATGTTGAAAGTGGAGCCACTCTTTGGATCGTGACCAAGGGTGGACGAGATCTATGGCATCGATATGAACAACTCACTGGATCAGATGGACCACAGGAGGCGCGATGCTTCTCGGACCCTATGTCATGCTTTCGTGCGAGTCTCACTGTTCAGCTGATGTTCTGTCATTGGTCCACAGAAGACTGGCGTTGGTATGTGAGCTGGCTGGAAGACAAGTTGGATTATGGGGTAAGCCCAGTATTTTCTGGATAAGGTTCACGCTAACGAAGCATCATAAAGAGCGATTCGGCATATACAAGGCGCCATGACCAAAGCCAAATGCAGTTGCAATACGAGCTTGACGACATCGCAGATTTGCAGTACTGGCGGGACAAAGCCAACGAAGCTGTGATGTTCTTAGAAGCCAATGTCGGGATCCTCAATTCTTTACGTGACTTTTATGGGAACCTAGCAAAGCGAAGAGACTTCCCTCATTCACTCAAGACGGGTTGTGAGCACGAGTTGGATGTGTTCCTATCACAAATGGACGAGATCATGAAGGACTTCCAGAGACAGCTCGCGAGAACGAGGTTGATAATTAACATTGTCAACGACAGGAAAGAATTGGTATTGCAACACTTGCAGGCTCAGACTGAGCGGCTCAGTAAGAACATCGGAAGGGAGACCGCTGTGATGCGTATCATTACCATTGTGACTTTATTGTACCTCCCATCCACTTTTGTCTCTGTAAGCCACTCCAATTCCCTTCTATCACCCGTTGCTGACGATTGATAGACATTCTTCAGTAGTGATGTTGTAAAGTATCAGAATCGGGACGCAGAGGGCGCAGGTGGTGACACAGAAAGCTTTTCCGCGCTGGCTCTCAAGAGGTGGCTTCAAGTCGCATTGCCACTGACTGCTTTGACGCTTTTCTGTGCATGGATCTCGATTAAATTCCATGATCAGACCCCAGGCGATCCCGTTGTCGGAATGCTTGGATATGGTGCTCTCGAATGGATCAAATCTTCTGCGGTCATATACTATACCCAAGTACAGGGGCGTTTCCGTGACGTGCCACGGTGGAGGGCATCGATAAAGATAGTGGCAGCAGTAATGCGTGTTCGCGTCCACATAACCTCGCTCTGGGTCAGAAACACCTCTAGTGCTGGGTTGCCGGTCGAGAGGAACAACTTGCAGCAACCTACACGTTGGTATCGTTCCCGTAAGAAGAACGCAACAATCGCTTGAATAGAAAGGCGATAAATTTGTCAGACAAGTGCTTGGCTGGTACAGAGGGCGCAAAACGATGGTGGTGGCTTCAACATGGCTACCTATGTGTTTGTCATCACCAGTCTCACGGCCCTGGCGGGCTGTATTACGATGTTGCTTCCCCAGTTACTGTAGAAAAAGCATAGGGAGCTTCAATATATAGACATCTTCGTAGTTGATATGTGCTCCGAAACAGGATGTATAAAGATCGTTCCAGTGTACTGCGGCATCTCGCACGACCCAGGTATAGGAAACAGAGCTTTGTTCGCGCGTGTGAGAACATGAATATACAATTGCCCACTGAGCATACAGCTATCGCAAGATTTTACCCTCTGTTGGCCGCTACCGACGTCTTGTTCTTGCATGGCTTGTTATCGCGACAGCATCGAGGAGTCGAAGGACACCAGTTAGCTATTTGTTCTCAAGAAGCCTGAAACGTAAAGGAAATTCAGAGACGGTTACTTACACCATAGTAGTAGTCCAGCGTTGCTAATTTACGAAATGTCAGCTCGCCATGCCAAAAGAAATGATATTCGATCTTATTGGCGCTTGGTGTCAGCTGCAGGTGCCTTGGCTGTTGACGTGCCCCGCGTTCAGCCTACCCTCTTCAGGCGCTGGCATAGCCACCGTAGGACCTCATCGCAGGAAAGCACCTACTTTAACTTACATCGCTCCCGCATCGCTCCCGTCCTTGTTTTATGATGCCTTGGTCACCCGCATGGATGATACCTGATTCGCACCATACACTTACGTCCTCCGACAGCAAGCACGTATTGTTCGGCATTTACAGCACGTCACCATGTCTGCGCTTTATGTACAGCATCACTCCGGGATCTTAGCGGAATTTCTGGACCTTTTGGAACATCGCTGGTCCTACCAAGTAGCGTGTCAGAATGAGTGCGACGTCGATGAAGGTTGTGATTGCATACGCCATATTGTCCACGTCCAGGCAGTCGTAGAGTGGTGGACCACAAAGACGCCCGACTTCCTAACGCACACAAGACTGCAGCGTCTGCTCGAAGACTTCAAGCTTCTTGGACCACGTTCTCTGATTGTGGAGCAAGGATTGATCTCGGGAAGCCGTGCTTACATTCTAGTTTTCAGCATGTTACTGGAGCTAGGCTATGGCCATCTTTTGGGTCGATTTATCGACTCTGGTATAGACGATAGAAGCCTGGCCAGTATGCAAGAAAGAGATGAACAAGTTTTACGCAAGAGTCTATCCGAATGTGGTAGCAGCATCCAAGTGGAACAAGTCATTGATGACTTTCAGAGGGCGAGGTGGGCCTATTGTCCATTAACGCTGAGCCTGGGCATGGAGGACGACTTGCGCGGAACCAAGACCATTCCTCCATTTTGCCAAAAACTCCGACTAGGACATACCGGAGGTACTGCATCTCTTTATTGGATCGCTGTTCAACAAGAATTGATCACCGATAATAAGCTTGCATCTGCACTCCGAGATTCAATTTATGCTGACGAGATTTATGGAGAGGTGAGCTTCTGGGCCCAATCATTTTTTTGAATGCGCTAACGAATCTGGAGTGTTATCAAATGGTTCTCAAATCCTATAGCGGGAAAAGACGTTCTGAGTTCGAGATAGAGAAGACGGCATTCTTGTATCTGAGCTCGAGTGAACTAGTTCCTATTATAAAATTCCTGGGGTCTTATACACACAGTTATGGCGAAGGTAAAGAGATGGGCGAAACTTACAACCTGCTCTTAGAATTTGGAGAACGAGATCTCTACGAGACATGGGCCGACGAGACGAATGTTCCTCCTGTGCGAGCGGAAGAGATCCTTCAATCGTGGAAATCTCTCTTTGAGGTTGCTAAAGCTATTCGTCATATTCATAACCTCGAGATACGGAGAGGCAAAAGTCTACCCTGGAGATATCATGGGTACGTAATCATGGGTTTGCCAGTTTCAGACGACTAACTTAGACAAGTTGGCACGCAGACATCAAACCAGACAACATACTTGTCGTTCGCGGACAGCTGAAGCTGGCTGATTTCGGCTTTTCCAGCTTCGCTCCCGTGGTCGAGCGCCGTGACGATTCAGAACCAACGGAGTTTATTAGGGGCTACACTGATACGTATGGTGCGTCTACATAGTGTTGAGGATACTCGAATCAGCTCTAACTACCTGCAGGTGCACCTGAAGTGTTTCGTATGAATAAACCGAGTGGGACTTTGTCCGGGGTCTCGCAGGCCATCGACACCTGGTCTTTTGGTTGTGTACTATCAGTAGCTGCGACATGGTTAGTACTGGGATATCAAGGGGTGCGTCAATACGAGAAGCTTCGACAGCTATCTCCAGAGAACGACAAGGGCAACGTTGTGTTAGACCGATTCCATGATGGCTTCGATGTACTCCCTGAAGTTGAGAAATGGCACAATTTCCTCCGCGGACACCTTCGAATATCAGATACGGCAACAGAGCTGGTATTGGACTTGATAGAAACAAAGCTGCTACGAGCAAATCCAGCAGCACGGTACAATATGGAGGAGCTTTGCGACAAATTACAGGAGTTGAGTGCCTGGGCCGAACATAAGATCAAGAGCCTCCGGAAACAATCAAGACATACAGATGCCTTGGTTGCCAGGGCCCTTATGGATGTTGAGGCATTAGCCGAGATGGAGAGATCGTCGGAACGAAATCTCAATCTATCGCAACGGTCTTTTGTCCACATCAAGTCTCTGGAGCCGGTATCGAAGCGAGCAGATAACAAAGATTTGATCAGGATCAAACCTCTTGGCCAGACAGCACACCGCAAACAAATCTTGGACACAATGCTTGAAGAGCATTCAATCATCGAGAGAGATGATGCGCCAGACGCAAGTGGTATTCATAATGGTGCAATAACAGACAGCCCGATTGATTCAGTTTCCCCAATGGAGCTGCAATACCATGGTCGCAAAGCTAAACCCGTGAACCCACAGCTTCGAGCACCTGACCAAGGTCAGCAAAGTAGACGCCATGACACACCAAACACCTCAAATCAACATGTGATATCGAGCCTCCTCAACATACCACCACCATATAGTCGTCAAAGAAGGACCTTTGATGCTACTTCTCCATCTCACAGCGACGACTCCTTTGCAGGAAGACCTGGACTGCATGTTACAATACCATATTCACCCTTGGTGCGGTACCCTGCCAGACGCGCACAGTCAAATGATACTCTAAAGCAACCGCCTCCATCTGAAGATGAAAGAACCATGGTTCATGATCCCGAGTCATCAAGCGTATCAACGTCAGAGAAGACTGCTGACGCGGCAAAACCTCATGCGCAAATGACCGAACAGAGCACCATCAACCGCCGCTTGGAAGATCAGAACTCATTCGCACCGAATCATCTAATCTACCATCAACGAGGGGACCTTTCTGGCACGACTAGTACAAGTCTTATGCAATCTGCAGTAGACCATAAACGCATACAAGAGCCAACCATTGAGGCAGCTGATATGTCTGCACATACTCCAGAGATCGTTCCCTCGATAACACTATCACAGAGTGAGAATACCGAATCATCGCAGAATCAATTAGCGGTATCTCAATCAAGCTCTCACGCTCACGAAAAGCAGCTTGCAGAGGAAAGTCCCAACCCGCACGCATACAATTCATCAGGATACAACAGTCCTCTCTTACTAACACTCCCAACAACTGTATTATCCTTGCCCTATGACATCTGTCTCAGGAGAAAGGATTTGGACGAGAAAGTCACAAAGGGGTTGGCAAAGGGAGTCGCGAGATTGAAGGGCAGTTTTGGCATCGAAACCAGAACCCGAGATTCTAGTCTTATATGGACCTTCGGTGATCCGCGCGAGCTGGTACGTTCGATCCAACGTTTTCACATATTCAACTAACATGACTCAGATCTTCGTTGTGGACAACGGGTGGACAATGTCCAAACACTGGCCGATCGTCATATTCGTCGCAGAAACGCTCGCCAAGAACGCCGCTGGCCTGGATAGGAGTGGTTTCGATGTCAAATTCACAGTTGATGGGCATACACATAACCAAGAGCGCCTAAAGGGTGACTTGGGTCGAAAGAAGTTAAAGAAGGCTTTGAGGGCAGCGTGGCCAGAGTACAAAGAGAACAACCATGTCACCACAGACATGGCCCGAGTCTTTAATGACATTTCTCAGGACTGGCACCGTGGCGGCCAACCCGCAACGACATTACTTGTTTTTACTGACGGCGTTTGGTCCAACACAAACCTCGATTCTTTGAACAAGATCATCCTCGATATCGCCGAGAAAGACCGATCGCATGTGGGAAATCGTCACTTTAGCATACAGTTCATTCGATTCGGCGATGAAGAAGCCCAGAAAACTCTACTACAAACGCTCGATGACTGCCTATGCGTTGCTCATAATCTGAGGGACATCATCGACCATTGCTCATGGCGTGCCAAAGTCGACAAGATGTTCAAGGGGAGCATCGAAGGCTACTTTGACGAACAGGATCCCGATGAAGAACCCATCTTGTACGATTATAAGAAGCTTGTTGATCTATTTAATACTTTCAACAGAGCCGAAGATCCTACGCGAATATCGCATCGCTCTTCTACCTCCCTTTCCAATAAAGGGGGCTTCGCAAGAAGATAATGATGGACATCGTCCTCGATACCATGATTCGCATTCTTTATTTTGTCCCTGCGCATGCACAGCTCGTGTCTGTTTGCGCATAAGTCTTTTTCTTCTGCTCACATGCGCTACGATACTCAGCGCTTGTCGCTACCTGCGCTTTTATACCATTCATTGTACATGTCTTGTATCAGTTTCTAGAGTTTGGCATTTCGCGGTTGGAGCACTATACCCATGGCATCGGCGTTTTAGAGTCCAATACTATCTTTTGTTGCGCAAAGGATCAGTATCAAGGCATATTCCTTCTGCAGGCGCAAGTACCGTGTCGCATAGTTCCCATATGTCAAACAAACTTACATGCGTGCGACTCGTTTCTACAAGACGTCACCCTCCTTCACTTCACGCTCTCACAAGATTCTGGGACATATAAACAGCGCCTATGAAGCGAAGACTCTATTTTGAGTAACGTTTTATAACCACCCTCCGTCTTCCTGTCTCACGATCAGATGGCAAAGCAACGTGGCGAATCTTAAGCCTTTCCATCTTCCTGACGCCTCTTTTCAAATATCTGCTATGCCTCGCAGCAGTCCGAACAGGATCTGGAGTATACGGCCTCGCATCAAATCTGCGCACCAACGGGATAGGATCAACCTTAATCTTGGCTAGCTTACGTCGGCGGGCGCGGCGCAGAAGCTCCTTCGCCCGTACCGATAGCGTCGGTTTTACGGGCGTGTAAGAGTTGACGATACGGGCAGGTGGCGGTTCGCTGGGAGGAAGGGTGATGAAATTGTAGGCTTTGGTGTTATGGGCACGTTTGCGGCGGTATGCTCGGTTTGTTTCGTGTGCGATTGCGGAAGTTACTTCTCTAGACGGTGGTTGAGAGGTAGTTCCACTGGAAGTAGACTGGCTTGGAATCTCACCTTGGTTCTGAGTAGAAGGCTCAGAACTTGTCGAGGACTCGGAATTTGCAGAGGTCTCAGGGTTTGTCGTAGGCTCTGAGCTTGGAGGCGCCGGCGAGTCTTGCGATGGCCGCTGGTCCCCTGATGCGACGTGAACCTGAGTACCATTCTTAGAGCTCTTAGCCATCTTCCTAGCTCTGTTGGTCGTGTTGAGTAACTTCCTTTTGAGCTTAGGGTGTTCAGGCCTTTTGAAAGAAGGCCATTTCGTCTTCAGCTCATCAGTTGGTGTGGCGCTATGTGTTTGGGCGATGCCGGTATCCTTTTTTGCCCAAGTATCATTTGTTGTGGTGCGAAGAGTGCCCTTGACAGCAACACCACCAGTGGGTCCTTCAATCCACACATCGTATATACTGCCATTCTGCAACTTCTTCTTCTCCAAACAGCATATGCGCATTTCCTCGTCGCAATAAAGCGGTGCTAGGTTGCGATATTCTATGGACTCTACAACTTGCTTGCCTTTCGTTTGTTGGTGCACGTAATGATTCACCGTTTTCAACATGAGGGTCAATGAAAGCGGCCCGTGAACTAGCAGATTACGGTGGCCCTCGACGTTACGAGCGTAGTCGGGATTGAGGTGGATGAGATGGGCGTTAAATGTGAGAGCAGAGAAGCGGAAGAGAAGGGCGCGGTTCGGCGTGAGGGTGTGTGAAAAGTCGGGGTTTCCAGGGGCTATTAACAGTCAGTAGATAACCTAATGGTCTGCGAGGATACGCACGATCTAAGTACTTGACAGTCGCCATTTGGCCAGCTTTGACAGCCTCGAGTTCTGCAGCGGTACGTTCCTTGAAGAAGACCAGGTTGCGCTCCTCTTTTAGAACAGCATCGCCCCAGCCATCGTCAACCTTAGGGCGCAATTGCTGTGTGATATCTCCCCGGGCCTCTTGAGGGTGCACACTGACGCCCGGTGGTCTCTTGCCATGCTTCCCCTTGTCGACACCTCTCTCTGCGTCTTCAAGGCCTGCGAAGCGCCGCTCGATTGTGACAAAGATCTTGGCGGTATCGCCCTCTCCATGTAGTCGTACATGCTTTATCTGCTCTGTACCAGCCATGACCGTGCCTGCTGTACAGCAGCGAGCGTAGTCGAGATAGCCATTAGGTTTCAGCTGTATCGAGCCGCCAGCCCACATGCGCCGCACCCATGGCTCGCCTGGGCTATGTGTTGCGTCTGTCCCGTCTGGAAGTAATTTGGAGGTCGCCTCCGCCGGATTGAACCATACCAAGTGATCCCCAAAAGTCATCGGTGAACCGCTGTAGTTCAGGGAACGGCACCATGATCGAGGTAAGAATCCCGCTAGTGTTTGCGAGAGCTTGATCCCGTGCGTGTAGGTGAGTTGGTCACGAATATGAGTAACGTCTCGTTGCAGCAATTCGCTCTGCAGCTGTTGGAACCATGGCGGATCGCCCGAGTTGGCTGAAGAATAGCATCGCAGCGGTATTCGTCGCCATTGTATGCGATTTGTGTGTATCCTGGCGATGCGAGGTGTGCACGGCGTCCGGAGCAGCATTGGGAAGGAAAGTTTGCGGGCAACGCCAAATCCGAGGTAGATGCTATCCTTGGGCGGCTCTTGGCGACGTCATGACGTAGGCGACGAGACCCTCCAGATTCCACCATGTATGCACACTTTCACGATCAGACATGGTCGCACTTCAGACTTCGCATGCTCGTCCAAGATGGGCGTTTGCAAAGCTGCCAACGTCAAACGTTCCAATTCTTCTATTTGCCAATGCCATGCGAGGCTGACCGCTTCGCTGTGACCCACTTGTCAGCAACAAATCCATCGTCTTCACACCGACATGGCATCAACATATCTTAGCACTGAATTTGCATCGGTTTGAGTTCGCATCACGCGTCTTGGCGTGTTTGACTGGCTGCTTCTTTCGGCTGTACACGAGCGTCGCACCTTCTTCACATCAGTCTTGCCTAGTCTTCACCGCCAACACCGTCATTCACTCGCGAACAACGTCTTTATCTTATAAGTCAGTCTTCAGTATGTGTGATTCTTGCCAAACTTGTGGATTGCTGTCTCATGTGCGTCTGTACCGCGTTCGTCATGCTAAGCCACGGAAGCCAACAGCGACTACCACGGCAGAATCAACCGCATGCGCATGAGGTGACGGTTTCCATACATGTGAACAACGAGACGCCGCACACCGTCACTCACTCCACGTGTCTGAGACCAGAAAGTGCTGGCCGCCATCTTCACGTTCGCAAGCTCACCTGCACAGGAATGATGAGCCAGATGGAGCTTTTGGAGTGCCCCATGTGCAGGTTCACTGTGCTTCCAAAAGATGACTACATGCTTCAATTACACTTTGAGCAAGCGCATACTGAGGATTCTCCTTTCATGATCGAAGACGACCCTGAACCGTTACCACCAACCTTGGTCCCTAGACCTTCCTCAACTCAGCACGACACCGAGGACACGCCTTCCTTTGACGACTTCGAAGAAGAGGAAAGCGCTGTAAAGTGCCCTGATCCTGACTGCGGCGAACTCGTTCCTCTCTCTGACTTCAACGACCATATCGAATACCACAACGCAGAAACTTTATCATTTGACGAGACTACAGGGAAGTATCATTCTCGGCGTTCATCCGCTACTATGCAAAGCTCGACCTCCTCTCGTCGTTCACATGCGAGCCGAGCAAAGACAACAACATCTGAGCGAAGTTTCAGCACAGAATTATCAGATACGTTGAAGACCGAGGCTCATAGCCGCAAATCCAAGAGGCACACCCATCGTCAGAGGCGTGATACCAATGATAGCGAGAAGAGCACTATTGGAAGGAGCATCCTAGGCTTCAACCCCTTTGCGAAAGCTGACCGAACCATCAAGCCACCAATCAAAAGTGCCCGCTTGGGGGTTAGTTCATCGTCCTGACAGTAAAACATAACTGACTCTTCCAGAAATCCGAGCTCGGACCCTATGCCTGGGAGAACCGAATGCCTAGGTGGCTGCACGACCAGCTTGAGGCGGGTCCGAAGATCACTGCGGTTAACCGTATTGGCCGAGATGGCCGTCTCATCAAGTATGACCAGGTGCAAAACGAGACGCCAGGCATTATACCCATCCTTGCTCAACTATCCGCTCTCGATCGTTCCGTCAAACAAGCTTACTACTGTCACCCGTCGACACTCCATGTTGGCAAAACGCCCCATGAAGGTGGCTTTTGTGGCTATCGGAATATACAAATGTTGCTATCCTACATTCAAGGCGCAAAGGCTCAGGGCTACGAAGAGTTTCCTGGGCGGCTCCCAACAGTTCTGAAAATGCAAGACCATATTGAAGGCGCTTGGGACAAAGGAATCAATGAGATTGGCCGTGTTCAAACTGGCGGTATACGTGATACTAGAAAGTATATCGGCACACCTGAGGTAATAACCTATATCCCTATGCCTCATTGTGTCCCACTGACATGGTCTAGGCTCAAGCTTTCTTTTTGAACTCCGAGATTAATTGCGCTGTCGAGCAGTTCAGCGACAACAAAGACCGCGACGTTGCAGCCCACGAACTACTTCTCGCCGCCATGGAGCGATACTTTGCCCGAGCAGCCGCCAGCGATGGGTCTAACGTTAACAAAACTCTTCTACCCCCCATCTATCTTCAACAACCAGGTCACTCTATCAGCGTCATCGGTTTTGAGCGTCACTTGAACGGCTCATGCAACCTGGTAGTCTACGATCCCATGTATCACACGAGCCCTGCTATGCATAAGCTGCTTGGCCGAAAGAATATCAGGACAGCTCGACCTGAAGTCTTGCATGCATATCGTCGTGGCGTTGGAAAGCTCAGGAAATACGCTGCTTATGAGATCTTGATGTATGCCCACTAGTCGATAGCTGATTGTTACATGCTGACTCTGCGCAGGCTTACAGCGACACCGCCTTTGTTTCCTGCTTGGGATGTATGAGCATCCATCTCCAAGTCTTTGCTCCTATATAATTACCTACTTGGCACTTGTCAAATGCACAGTCGAACGCTGACGCCTCTACGATTCCTCCATCCCTCCCAATCTTCTTTTACAATGACTTTCACTAAAGATCTTCTCTTTAGGTGCTTCGTCAGTTCCCCGACTGTCGCTTCGTGTACGCCTTCTTCCGTGCTCGTACCCTCGGATACGATGTCTACCCAGAAGATCACTTCCTTCAAAATTTCCCGTGGCAGTTGTATGGCGGACTCTGGTCGTGTGATGATGCTCGCTTTGCCAGAGCGGAGCCGATGAACGCTCTCACGGCTTTGGCTTTACGTCGAATCACGAGCGAAGGGTCCTCCAGCTGCAGTAATAACAACAGTCCTACAAGTCCTACGAATTTCTTCACAAACAGCAGCTTCCAGCACACGCCAACGAACGAAGATGACCGGCTTCCTTCTTGGGTGGGTTCACTTGATGGATCTGCGAATGGCTTTGTGAGCCGATCGCAGTACGCTAGTAGCCGCCCTGTCTACGATATGGGTGCTTTGAGCGCTGCGTTGCCTCAGCCCAGTCCTATGAGACCACACCTATCACTTCTGACAGACGTCGGAAGGAAATATCCGGGCTTTCCTACACCATTATCTCCTACTTTGACGGCAAGAGAAACCTACCCTTCACCCGCATCCGATGCCGGAAGCGGGGTTGCAACACCTCGCGCTCTGAGCTCCGCAGTGCGTACGGTGAGCCCGATGAGTACCAACAGCTCGAACATATGCGGGCCTTTTCGCCGTTACGACTTAGACGGATACGGCCAATGCTCACCACAAATGGGTCTCATTGATGAGGTTCTCACGAAACCGGAAACACGCAATGGCTGCCGCACTCCATCAGCATCGTCGCAGGGTATTGAAGGTCTTGCAACTCCTCCAACAAGTCCATCAAGATGTGTATCCCCACGTACCGTCATGCTGAAGAAGATGGCTGCAAAGCAAGGTCTCCCGGAGCTGTCGCCCAATTCCATGCGCAGTTCAGGTTCTAGACTTCAGTCTCACACCAGCACTCGCATTCCCGGCGCATACCCTGCCTCTCCGCCTTCATCTATCCGGTATTCCCAATCAGCGCCGTACTGTCAAACAGCGTGTCCGTCTTTCCCTATCGCCAACGGAGTGGAATCTGAAGCGACGTCACCCATTGATCCTTGTGGTACCATGCTCTTCTACACGTCCAACCGCAGTATCGACTCGGGCCTTCTGGGCGTCCACCCTCTCTCTGAGCCTCAAGTCGCCGAGTACCGATTCTGGCGTCCTTGTGGCCGGCGCATCTGCGGATTTGGGTGTGGCGGCGTGAATGTAGGAGAGACTGCCGCTGCAAGGAGGCTGTTCAAAGAAGTCGAGGAAGTCAGTCCTGTGGTCGAGCAGGAAATAAAAGATGAAGGAGAGCTAGAGAGAGACGTGGACTATGAATACGGTCTTGACGGCGCGAGCGATGGTGGCTATGGCAATGAGGGGGGCGAGTTTAGCACGAGTACCTGGGCTGGCCGCCGGCTAGTCATGAATTGGAATCAGTTCTTGTCGGGTTGTGAGAGGGAAGGCGTCGCGCAGTTCTAATTGGGTATAGATGGAGCGACGGGCATCATTGCGACTCGAGCGCATGGACAAGGTTGTTAGTTTCCACTAGGACAATCGCTTTTTTAGTATTATGAATGTTGTTGCGCTGCTTCTTAATCTTGTCGTGCTTTGTGAAGCGCATGGTGCCACGTTCAGCTGCTCAAAGGAGAAGGCGGGGCTAGGCGTCCCGCTATTGTGTCTTGCAGGGAACGGCTACCAACACATGCATGTTATAGTGTTTTCATGTCAAAATCTATTACTAGGCTAGTGACGTATCTTGCCGTTCGCGAATCCCCAGTAGAGTTAGACTGACATGCCCCAATCGGCGATGATGTTCAGCTCATCACCCGATGCATGTTCTGCCAGCACCCACGGCGCTGCAGAGATCGCAATCGAGTGCGATCTGCCGGTCTAGACCGCGTAGACTCTGCTACCTCATGTGCCCTGTTCCTCGCCCTCAGCAGTGCGACTCGACGTTCCTGGCCTCAAATCGCCTCTTAACAGGCACGTACTCGTAGGGTTGTGGTCTTTGAGCCCTGATATGACGTCACGCGGATCTTCCGTCTCTAAGCACGCTTGTTCCCACCAGCTGCTTTCGCTTTGAGACACGCCGAGCGCATTCCCCGGAACCAGCGCCATGGAGAACCTCGACAAACTATCTGCGACGGGCCTGCCAGTGTTCGACCTCAATGAGGAGAATCTGCAGCGCAAGGATTGGTGAGGAGACCACGGCGATGCAAGTGCTCTCGTTGTGTTCCAGTACTGACAGCCCCAGGACTAAAACACCCATAGGCGCACGCGAGTCGTGGCCTGTTGCCTTAACATGTCTCGTCAACACGTGTGTGCTGCCCATGCCCCACTGCGCCGCCATTTTCTGGGGCAAGGACATGATAGTCATTCACAACCTGGCCTGGGAAAAGGCCAGAGGCGGACTTGACGGCCAAGCCACGAGCGCGCGCGACAGCTACGACCATGAAGCACTCGGCACGCTGCGGACGGTGCTGAGAGGACGAACGGTCAAGGTAGGTAAGCATCACACCATGATCGTGTACGTATTATACAATGTACTGACCGTCTAGCCGCCAGGTACTTCCTCGAGAAATTCGCGGAAGAAAAGAACAGGCAGCTTCTCCTCAGCACTATCTTAGACGAAAGCGGCACGCGACAGGGCGTACTGGCCCAACTACTCGAAAACCAGAACGTGGACCGCTACATGCCCATCGAGGGCATAGACGAACTTTCGCGCCAGCATCCAGGAAGACAAGTCAAGGAGAATGAATACCAGCACAAGAGCAAGGACAAAAGCACGCAGCAGGCCGATTCTATGTCGACCAACATGTTCCAGCGCTTCGCTGAGCTGCTGCCTAATGGCTTAGCCATTCTTGACAAGGATGCCGAAGCAATTTTCGTCAATGACGGCTTCTTCAAGCTGACGACTAACAAGGGCAACAATGAGTTCCGCTCGTGGCCAGAGAGCATACATCCTGACGACTATGAAGACGTCATGACCGCCTATCGCAAAGCATTCGAAAGCCGAACAGAGTTGCAGATAGAGTTTAGATGTGATGTTGCAGCGCCCGAAGAAATGAAGTCCAAGGGAGAGCAATGGAGATTATTCTTGTTGAAGCCTCTGAGTGAGGAAGCCGATGCCGGTTTTATTAGCGCTGTAATCGACATCACCGACATCAAACAGGCCCAACTAACTCAAGAGAAAGCCGCCAATGACGCCAAAGATCGCAAGGAACAGCAAGAGAGATTCATTGACATGGTTTCGCACGAAATTCGGAATCCTCTATCGGCTGTCTTACACTTGGCTGAAGAAGTGAGAGAAATCACGAAAGAGATTGGGGCCGATCACGAAGACGTTCGCGACCAGGTAGCCGATATATTGGATGCAGCCGACACTATACTTCTTTGCGTCTCACATCAGAATACTCTTGTAGACGACATTCTATCTTTTTCCAAGCTCGACTCTATGATGTTATCTTTGGTACCCCGACGTGAGTGTTCCCACAACTATGCTACGTTATTTGTTTGCTGAACTGTTGTAGCAACAAAACCTAAGTGGGAATTCTCCCAAGCGCTTCGAGTTTTCCATTCCGAATTCAAGGCGAAAAATATCAAGTTTCACTACGCTATGGATGTTTCGTATGAGGAACAGAAAGTGGATAGTGTTGTCGCAGATCTCAATCGCATGAAGCAAGGTAAGGACCACCTAATGTCCCATTGAATATTAGTAACATCTCTAGTTTTGGTCAACCTGATAACCAATGCTATAAAATTCACCTCCAAGAAGAATGGCGACCGTAACATCACTGTATCCATGGGCGCATCCATTGAGCGACCTACATCTTACCCACCCAACGTCATCTACTTCAGTGAAGAGAAAGAAGCGTTTCATCTGGATTCAACTATGACGTCGGAATGGGGCTCCGGGGCCGCCATGTATCTGATGGTAGCTGTTAAAGATACTGGCATAGGCATCAGCAAAGAAGGCCAAGCCAAGTTATTCGAACGTTTTAGGTACAGTGCGCGCTCTTGGACACAGTCGGTTCGCAATGCTAACCATGCATCAGACAAGCGACACCGAAAACGCAAGAGAGATATGGCGGCTCAGGTCTCGGTCTTTTCATATCACGCAAATGTGCGTTACTGTATTCACCGCAGGTGTTTCATAGCTAACTCATCAACAGTATGCACATTACACGGTGGAGACATTGGCGTGAGTTCGAAAGAGGGAGAAGGTTCAACATTCGGTTTCTTCTTCAAAGTACGTCGCGCGACTGGCGGAAATGATGAGGGACGACCTTCAGGACAATCGCGAAGTAACTCGGAAACATCCAATTCTTCTTCCCGTCCAGGCGAATCTGGGTCGCGACCATCTCGTCCAGGGATTAGTCGTGCAAATTCGAATCTCTCGAGCATAAAAGAGCGAAACAACGAGCGCCCTGAAGCAAAATCACTGGCCAGCCATCATGGTGTCGACACCGACGAGATAGAGCAATCACTTAAAGATCCACCAGTAGAAGATCGACCGGAAGCACACCCTGAGTCGAACGAAGATGCACGCTACAAGGAGACGCAGAAGGCCACAGAGGAGATCAAAACAATCAAGCCAAACGTGGAGAAAAAGCTGCCTGATTTGAGGAGAGGCGAAACGCACCGGCAAGAAGAGGACGCTTTAGAAGTCACGAGATCTCAGAGCGATAAACGTTCTGAAGCTACACATACTCTTCTTCTTGTCGAAGATAATCTAATCAACCAGAAGGTTCTGCGGCGGCAGCTTCAATCCCGCGGCTTCCAGGTCTTCACCGCGAACAACGGTCAGGAAGCGATCGATGCAGTAGCCAAGCGTGGACAGAGGGCAGATAACGGCCCCGACGACCGCAACTATTTCGACTGCATACTCATGGATCAGGAAATGCCTATTAAAGACGGCAATGCAGCAACACAAGAGATCAGGCAGCTACAAGATGAGGGCAAGGCTGGATACAGTCATATCCTGGGTGTTTCTGCAAATGTACGAGAGGCGCAGACGAACAGCATGCGTGAAGCTGGTATGGACGACGTTATTTCCAAACCGTTCAAGGTAGACGACCTTGTCAAGAAAGTCCGTGGCTTGGTTTTGAACGGTGGCGGCGGCTCGAAGCACGACAATAGACCAGACGGTGCCTCAAATACCGAAGAAGATGACAAAAGTGGCGACCAAAAGGACACGGACGGCGGTCTGCATCCACGAGATGCAGAAAGACGGGAGGAAAACATACATCCGGACAACGAACGAGAAAATCGAGAGCGAGGAGGCGAAAGGTCGAGATCCCGAGCTACCATAAGGACAGGAAACGCAACACATCAGAATGAGTCTATAACGCACGAAAATCAATCATGAGCTCGATAGTCATTGCAGGCGGGAGGAAGAAACACCAGCATGGTCACGTTTGGGCTACATGGTGTTATTCTAGGCGGAACAATCGATTTAGGATTGCATTGCAAGGTGTTTAGGATTCGTTCATCTAGATAGATACGAGTGGCATGACTGGATGAGAAATGAATGTATTGTTTGAATGGCATTGTAGGAATGGTCGAACGTTCGGGCTGTTGACTGGGATATTGCTAAATCGAATCTCTACACTGCTTTCGTAAATAGTCGCAGTGGTTGTGAGGCTCTGCAGGAAGGTGGAGGTTATCATGCAAGAGCTCCTCTGTTACTCGAGTCATGTACAGTACATCCCACTTCACCCCACCTTTACCCCAAACATCCATCATCACAACCGTCGTCATGCCTACCACGCTTGTGTACGCGTGCAAGTATAATCCGCAACCTATTCTCTGCCCGTCTTAGTATCGCGACAAACATTCTACAACTTCGCACGCAGCATGTCGAAAGAATTCCAGGATAAAGTCGTCCTGGTTACAGGTGCTGCAAGCGGTATCGGGTACATCTCTGTCTTCTTTCCCTGTCCTCTTGTCACACGAATCCAAGTATGAGCATTCCACTAACACAAACAAAAGCCGCGCGACTGCCCTCAAACTCTCCTCCCTCGGCGCCTCCGTCTCCCTCTGTGACGTCAACTTCCCCAGCCTCAGCGCCGTAGCTTCAGAATGCGAGACACCCACCCTCATACGAAGAGTCGACGTGAGCTCCGCTGCCGAGGTTCAGGAATTCGTTGACAGCACCGTCAAGGGACTGGGTCGATTGGACTACGTTTTCAATTGCGCTGGCGTAAATCCCACGAGCATAAAGCTAGAAGACACAAGTGAAGAATATTGGGATAAGCTCGTCAACACGAACCTCAAGGGCGTGTTTCTTGTCACGAAGGCCTGTCTTCCGTATCTGAGTCGCGGGTCCGCTATCGTCAATGTGAGCAGTGTATCTGGCATACGAGGTTCAGCTTTCCAATCCGTATACTGCACGACGAAATTCGGACTGATCGGCATGACGAAATCGCATGCTCTGGAATTTGGTCCCAGGGGAATCAGGGTCAATGCTATTTGTCCGGGCTATATTGATACGCCGTCGAATGCGGGTATCGTGAAGGGAGGCGAGGCAGTGGAGAGGATGAGGAATGGGAATGCGTTGGAGAGGTTGGGAGAGCCGGAAGAAGTGGCGGATGTTGTTGCATTCTTGTTTGGAGAAGGAGCACGGTATGTTAATGGAGCTGTTGTGGAGATTGATGGAGCAATTAAGATGAGTAGTACTACGAGTAAGTGAGAGGGGTCTGTAGATGCAGAGAAATGGTATCTTGCATATTTAGAGACGTTCCATTATGGTGTTTCAAGTGTGGAGTTTGTGCATAGAGTTTTGTATACTGAGGCTTGATATCAAAGCCATCCAATGGGAAGTCGAGGTGGAGAAGCAACCCGGTCACGTGCTATGGAGAGCCGCACGCTAGTGCAAGGTTGTCGCATGTCGAAAGTTCCGTCGCGACATCTCTCACCACAACTCCAACATCACAACCATGACAGAAGTACAAGAACACACACAAACGTCGCTCGCAGCAGACACATCTCTCGAACCGACCGCGTCGACCGAGCTTGTTACGACGACAGAACAGACAATCATCACGACCAATGCCGAGGGCAAAAAGGTTAAGAAGATCATCCGTCGCAAACGGAGACCGGCGCGTCCACAAGTCGATCCTGCGACGATAAAGCCCCAGGAAGTTGCGCAGACGGGTAACATCTACAACGTTTGGTACAACAAGTGGTCTGGTGGTGACAGGGAGGACAAGTACCTCTCCAAGACAGCCGCCCAGGGACGCTGCAACATCGCAAAGGACAGCGGATACACAAAAGCCGACAAGACGCCTGGATCCTACTTCTGCCTCTTCTTTGCGCGTGGTATCTGCCCCAAGGGTGTGGACTGCGAGTACCTCCATCGTCTGCCTACCGTCACCGACATCTTCCCAAGCAACGTCGACTGCTTCGGGCGCGACAAGCATGCCGACTACCGAGACGACATGGGTGGAGTAGGAACCTTCCAAAGACAAAACCGAACCATCTACATCGGACGCATCCACCCCGCCGACGACATCGAGGAAATCGTCTCGCGCCACATGCAAGAATGGGGCGAAATCGAACGAACCCGCGTCCTCACAGCCCGCGGCGTGGCCTTTGTTACCTACACCAATGAAGCCAACTCGCAGTTTGCCAAAGAAGCGATGGCGCACCAATCTTTCGACCACAACGAAATCTTAAACGTCCGCTGGGCAACCGTAGACCCCAACCCACAAGCCGCGAAACGCGAAGCCCGCCGCATCGAAGAACAAGCCGCCGAGGCGATCCGAAAAGCCCTTCCCGCAGCCTACGTCGCCGAACTAGAAGGCAGAGATCCCGAGAGCAAGAAGCGCAGGAAGGTCGAAGGCAGCTTTGGTCTACAAGGTTATGAAGCACCGGATGACGTATGGTACGCAAAAGAAAAGAGTGACTGGGAAGCAGCCAAGCAGCTGGAATCAGGCGGCATGGGCGAGCGCATGATGATTGAGAGTGCAGAGTTGGCCTACCAAGACGGCGATAATATTGTTCAAGAACAAGAGAGCTCGACTGCACAGCAGGGCAATGGCATTTTGTCAGGGTCTACACTGGCGGCGCTCAAGGGGTTCAAGGCTACGCCGACCAACAAATGGCCTGCGCCTGTTGCGGGGCCGCTTGTAGATTATGGCAGTGATAGTGATTGAGTGTGGGGTTTGCATATTGGAGTCAATGAGATTGAGAGAGACAAGCATGTATTGTATGTATCGGTGCACAAAATTTTGGGAACATGGAAAGGAAGCATCTCATGGCGTAGGCATAGTTAATTGATACCCGTTCTTTTGCGTGTCACAGCATATGCAATTGACAATGCTACGGTGGTCCTATCCTCAGTTTCTTCGGCGCGCCTGACTTCTTCTTCTTCTTGGGCGAGGGTGAGCTTTTTTTCGCCGTCTCTCGAGGTTTCTTGCTGGCACGTGTAGCTTTCTTTGTCGCTGCTGGTGCTTGCTGTGTTCGAGTTTCCGGGAGGGCGGTGGACTTTGGAGGACTGGTCTTCTTCGCGACCTCAGCTGGTTTCACGACATCAGCCCTCTTCACGTCAGCATTCTCTAGAGCCTCAATCCTCTTCGCAGCATCAGCCCTCTTCTTCTCCGCCTCCTCCTGCTTCTCTTTAGCGTTCTTGTCCATCTCAAACTTCCTCTTCGCCCTTTTCAAAATATCGCTTGTCTTTGGATAATTCCTTCCTTCCACTGGTTTCCCGTTCCCTTTCTCCCTGATGTACGCCTCCACCATCTGCAACCCATACCAATCTTGCTCGACGTTCGCTTTGTAGTCTTCATGTCTTGCTCTTTCTAACCTCCAACCCTCCGTACCACATTTGTATCTCAACTGTGAGTCTTGCTTTTGCATAGAATCAAAGTCACCAACAACAAAACAGGCGGGCTTTGCTTTGAGATCAACAAAGATATTCGAAGGCTTGATGTCGACGTGTACGTAGCCTAAGGAGTGTATATGTCGAATGCCCTGTCTGATATCCTGCAGACATTTTTCGGCGTCAAAAGTACGTTTCTCAGCTACCAGTTCGCCTAGAGTCATGTCGTACTTCTGGAACAATAGCGCCACGATGCGTTTACTCTTCAAGTCGTAGTCTACACCACGATATCGACATATGTTTGGATGTGGGTTTTTACGTAGCGTCTCACAGTTTTCAATCTCCCTCATCACGATGTCTTTGAGCCAACATGGTGTCCCGAATAGTTCAGTGGAGTAGCGGAGATAATCCATTGTTTTGGCATATAACCTGTTGTTTTTAAGATATTTGGCGGATGTCATCGTAAAATTTGTGTAAGCTGGTCGGATGTTCAGAATGTTTATTAAACGCGGCGGTGTGTCCCAAGTGTACGGGTCGGGATCGGGAGCGCTTTTGTCGCTGGGCTTTTCGGTCTCTGCGTACCAAAGGCTGTCGGGAAAGACTGTTGAATAGAAGATTGCTCGGATGGTTCCATCATAATTTCGCCTTTTGTGAAGTACCAGGCCGTTCTTGATGGGTCGCGCGGGCTCCGCTAAGCTGCACGCCACAGGGGGACGAGACGCTGGAGCCATGGCTTTTTTGGCCTTGGGACCACAACAGGAGAAGTCAGGGAAACAAGTTGTGGGTTGCTGGTGTACTTGGTGAGCGTATGTACTGTGAATTCACGTTGGCTCGTAATAGTGCAGTGTCGTTAGCACAGCATTTCACTATTTCACTGTGTCGGAAGTGGCAGTGTTTTCTGTCTCGACGAATCTAGCACCGTTCAATCATTTGTCCTTGTGCTTATATCGTTAAGCTTTATAGTCACGGTACAAGACAACTATACCTTTCATAATGCGAGATTATTTCTTCTTGCGAGCCTGACGTTTTCTCCCTAATCACCTTGAGCGCTTCCGTTACATCAAAAGCTCTAGCATTGACCACGAGAACTTGACATATCGATCATAGCATTATGTTCAAGTTCATCGGCGAACTCGTGGGCGTGGATGAGGAAAAACGGCCATGGCCATCGATGCAAATAGTAGGCCACCGTACTTACCACGAGAACTCTATTCCCCAGACATGGGTATTGGCTTACCAAAACGGACGACTGTATCATGGAATCAAGGAAGGCACCATGTCCAACAGCCAAGCCGATTGCACTGACCCTTCGCTCTGGAGAGATCCAGAAACCTGTTTGCCCCCTCCCGAACTCGATCCCGCCAACTTAGATCCAAAGGTTCTGCCTCGTTATAACCTCTTCCACCCCCATAAACATGTGGCAGGGAACACGTACAAGAAACAAGGTGCTATATTGAAGCCGGATCGTCGGTATCTTTGGCAGGCCCTCAACACAACTTTTGTAGCACATACCACTGCGCGGGAAATTGATGCTTGTCAGATACTCGATTTGCAGCCGCATAAGAGCATTTGCAAGTATTACGGTGTGGAGACTAGCAGTGTGCTCCGATTTAAGTACCGCGACGAAACTATCGACGTGACTATGAACCAGGAGCGTGTCTTGAACCTAGTGTTCGAGAATTACGATTGTAACCTTCGGGAAGCAATCGAACGTGGCTATCCTGTACAGATCCGGGATTGCTTGCAATCAATAGCTGCGGGTATAGAGCACATGCACTCCCTGAAGCTCGTTCATGGGGATGTCAAACCCGAGAACATACTTGTCAAGTGGTCAAACAGCGCACATGATGCGATGGCGATGCGGTATGTTATAGGAGACTTTGACAGCACCCAATGGAAGGGCTCAGTGATCGGTGGCAAATACGGGACTCCGTTCTGGTCGCGAGACAAGAAACCTGGAGTAGACATTGTGGAAGAAGACGATGACTGGTTCGGTTTTGATCAGCTGAGGAAGTGGTTGGTGTGTTTTACCACTGACTCGCGTCAGAAATCGGAAGACTATAGGGGAATCGGGAAAAAGATTGGAGGAACGGATGATAGGGAGAACACAATTACCTATAGCTCTGTTTGAATGATTTAAGTACAGACTGAAGTAATGTTTCCGAGAGAAATGATTCGAAGTGAGAGATGGTCGAGGAAAAGGAATTACGAAATGAGTCCTTTGTGAAGTCGTGCCTGTGGACACCAAACTCGAAAAGATCTTCGTATGGCACTCTCAGGGGGGGCAAACATTGAGCAAACAGAATCATGTCCTCTAATACTGCTACCGTGTAATGGGTAGAAAAGGATTGAAGTATGGAATATATATTGGATCAAAAAGCCGGTGTAAATCATCAACGGAATGGGGAGTTGCATGTGACCGACGTGCTAGATGTGAAACGCGTCATATCATGTGTAGCAGTACCGTTCGCGTTTTGTTGCGAAACCACTTTAGCGGGCTGCACCTGCATCGCTTATGTGCTATCGGTATGTTGTTGTGGGGTTTCTTAGCGCTAAGCACCTGTATGCGTCCAGATCAGCTCAGCTCAATGAACAAACCGCAACGCAACCTTGGAAGTCCAGAATCGATGACTTCAACAACCTGCTAAACTACAAATCCGGTGAAAGCGATATTACTATCTTTGTAAAAACTCGATAGCCACCTGACAGGATTACATGGGCCGTCGCCCTGCAAGACTTCGTCCCATGTCTATGGGTAATGCGTCGAGTAGTTCGTGGTTACCGTTTCCACTCAGACGATATTTCGCACAAACTGAGCCTGCAAGCTATCGATATCATCAGACATCCACAAAAGATTCCCAAAGAGAGCCAAAGTCCTGGTACGGTTGTTGGAGAATCATGGTTCCTGGGTCTTTTCTCGGCATCTTGATCATTGGGGGCGCAGTGTATTTCAATCGACAACTTGAGCTCTGTGGGTTTCCAGATCCAAATAACGAGCGCCTTGACCAATGCAATTCTAGCCAAACCACTACCGAGCTTGTACGAGGCAGATATTGACGCTGTTGCTAATGGTTTGGAACGAAGTCTTTTCACAAGCTTACATCTAGTCAAGGCAAGTACTTCCGGTAAACCAGACGCCATGATATCACGACTAAAACCGTTCAAAAGACCTACATCGCCCGCATCGAAGAAGTGAATGACTTTTTGAGGCCAGTCACTGAGATCAATCCCGATGCGCTGATCATAGCCGCTGCACTTGACAAGGAACGTTCGGAAGGCATGGTACGGGGGTTAGTATGCAAGCTCGGGTCATTACGATATCCGCTGACGGATAGACCATTACATGGCATACCCGTACTCATCAAGGATACGGTACGTTGGACCCCATCAAAGCTAATGGCTCCCAATCGGCCACTCGGAAATTGAGTTTAGGAAACCAGACTGACGTTGGAGTCGCATGTAGATTGCCACGAAAGATAAGATGAACAACACAGCTGGATCCTACGCCTTAGTTGGAGCCAAAGTTTCCGCTGATTCTACGGTCGCGAAGAAACTCAGAGAAGCAGGTGCTATAATCTTAGGAAAGACAAACCCCAGCGAGTGGGGCAGTTTTCGAATATTCAATTCGAGCAACGGCTGGTCAGCATATGGGGGTCAGACATACGGACCCTTCTATCCCCATCAAGACTCCTCTGGAAGCTCAAGCGGAAGTGCTGTGGCGGCATCGTGAGTCATTCTATCCTTGATAAGTCTGAGCTTCGTCCTGATCAGCCCAGTCTTGGTCTGGCTACAATTACGCTAGGTGGTGAAACGTGTGGATCAATCATCGATCCTGCCAGTTATAACAATGTTGTAGGAATGAAGCCAAGTACATAATCCACATATCAGATGAGTCATGATCTAACTGAGCACAGCTGTTGGGTTTACATCTCGACATCTTGTAATTCCAATCAGCGAGCACATGGATACTATCGGGCCTCTTACAAAAACCGTGAAAGATTCAGCGTACTTGCTGCAAGGTATTGCAGGTTTCGACGTTCATGACAACTACACCTCTGCTATCCCAGAAGAAGTGGATATGGACTTTGTTGGCGCCTGCAAACTCTCTGCACTTAAAGGTGCGCGGCTGGGTGTGCCTCGTAACGTCATTCAACTTATGTCAGATGAAGTCACATGGTCGATGGTCAAGGCATTTGACGACTCTTTGGAAGTTCTACGCGCGGCTGGTGCCGTGGTCGTAGAGAGCGACTTCCCTGCAGCGCGAGAGTTTCTAGACGACAGTATGATAGGTGCGAAGATCATGGGCGCGGACTTCGTTGTCAACATCGAAAATTACCTGCGGCAACTTGCTTACAATCCACACAACATCAAGAGCCTAGTTGAGCTACGCAAGTGGACGCAAGACAGTTCACTAGAAGGATATCCAAGCAAACCAACAGAGCTCTGGGACTTTGTGTTGCAAAATTGGAACAATACTGAACCTGGATTCTGGCAAGCATATCAGCAAGGTCTCTACTATGACGGTGAAGGAGGCCTACTGGGTACCATCAAGAGGCACAATCTCGACGCCGTCTTACTGCCATCACATTTTTCATGGAACTTTGCTGGTATTGCTGGTGCGCCGATCGTTTCTGTACCGATTGGGGCCATGCAGTCTGACCAGCCCATCGTCTCTGACGCTGATGGATTAGTGTCGTCGGCGCCCAATATTCCGTAAGTGGTTCGCAAATAACGGTTGCTTGTGCGATGCTGACTATGACGGAATAGATTTGGTTTTAGTTTTCTAGGTGCAAAATTCAATGATGCAAAGATTATCGGATTGGCCTACGCCTTTGAACAGCGGACACTTGTAAGAGCTACGGTGAAGCCGTATATCACACCGCGCACTGAGCTCTGGGATATCATGGGAACATAGAGTAGCAGTCATATGTACAGTATGCCGAAGGCCTTGGCATAGAAAAGTGTTGTTACAATGTATAGATGAAAGAAGACTAAAACATGGAATGTATACCCGAAGTGCGCGCTGCAGTCTCGTTTCAAACGTGGAGCTAGACAGCGGCACGACCCGACTGCCGGCTGTCGTTGCCCCATCGGAACAGACAGCCGCCATCGTCTTTGTTTCGACTTCCGTCTGTCGCGCCATTGACGCGTCATCCCCTATCTTCCAGACCCGTCTTCTGGATATCCATAATTTACATGTGCTATATGTGAATATTCCCTACCTATAGCCATCCCCCACCGAAGCGCCCTCCATGTCGCACTCGTCCTCGCAATCAACCAACAAGATGCTCAACACACTCCCCAAACCAACACGCGACCTGACCGAACTGGCAAAAGAGGAAAGGAGTTTCACCTTCAATCACTTTACATGCGAGCATGCCTGGGTCATTGGAAATATCCTCCGAAACGCGTTAAGAACCGCCGAATGCCCCGCGCTTATTCAGATCTCTTCTGCGAATCAGACGCTGTTCCACTCGCCGAGTTTGCCTGGCATAATGCCCGATCACGAAAAGTGGTCGGACAGGAAGCGCAACACTGTGCTAAGATGGGGGCATTCTACCTGGTTCATGAGTTGCCAGTTTGAAGGAGACTACAAAAGGTTCGCCGAGCACAACGCCATGAGCGGCGACGAGTGGTCAAGATACACCATTGAAGGTGGCGGATACCCCGTCTTTGTCAAGGGCGTGGAAGGTGTTGTTGGTGCAATTGTTGTGGTCGGTCTCGGCGTAGACAGTGAGCAGGCGCATGGCGTCGTCGTCAAAGCAGTCGAGGAATACAAGGACCTCCGGGAAGGCTTCCGGAGTCCAATGAGGAGCATGACGGTGAAATGACTAGATGGTCTGGGCAAAGGAGACGGACTTGGTATAACACTTGGTATCGATCAAAGGGCGGGAAGAAGCAAAGAGAGAAAGACGTGAGCACCCAATGTGATGCCTGCTCGATGGCATGGTTGAAGACTACAGTACAGATGAAGAGCCATGATTGCCAACCGGACGAAAGCCAAAACGCCCTCCTACCGCATCGAAAGCTATCGAGTAGCCAAACAACAAGTTCCGACCAGTATTGATATACGGAGGATGTTCTGGCAATTGCGGAAACACATAGTTGGGTTCGATAAGCGATTTCTCGCCAACGACGAACGAGTATGATGTCGCTGGTTGGTCTAGAGATGGGAAGCCAACGGTGATGTTGGTACCAGGCTTCACGCGCTTCACCATCTTTGTGTGACCGTTTGGGTTGGGGTTTGGGATGACAACAGTCGGGATTGAAACGTCCCGTTCGGCTCTGATGTACATTTGCGCTACGCCAGTATCGACAAGAAGAGTACCGTCATTACGCCCTTCGTCGTTGATGCTAAAGCACATCTTTGCCATCGCCCAATCCCTCGCATCCTCGCCATGATTTAATCCTGGATCCAAACTAGAGAACGCGAAGGCTTTTGTGTTCCTTGGCGTTAACCCTATCTGGATGCCCTCGGTCGATATGATATATCCAGCTCGCATCGTTCCGTTTTGTATCGGTTCCCCATCGATCGCATCGATGTTCAAGAACGGGTTAATGCTCGGTGTCGCGAACGGCATACCGTCTTTCAGGCCGTTTCTTCCAAAGCCTACACCCATGTAGGTGATCTCCGAGGTGTCCCTCTCTTCAGCCTGCTCCCCGTCTGGACCTGGTGGACATTCGAATCGGTCTTTGCTGGGATTGTACCAAGGGCATCTCCAGCTTCTGTCCACAATCAAAACAGGCACGTTCGCGGTCGCGTAGGAGCCAGCCTCACCAACAAAATCCATTGGCAGCTTCACCAGTCGGCCTACATAGAGAATCTTGCTACTTGTGAAGAAGTGGTGTGCTGGCTTGCCCTCAGTAGGTGATATATTTGGAAGTATTGGAGCTCCTATCAACGTGCCGGTGGACCCCGTGTCTACAGGCATCTTGACGTTGACCCCTTCGATGCTACACGTGACTTGTGGGACATGTTTGGGGCTAAATTTGTAGATGAATGGGATGAAGATCGAGCTCGTAGACCGTGACAATCCGTTGGCCATGGGGCGCAAAGTAGCTAGGCCGTTGTACATAGCGTAGAGAGCGAGGCTGGTGATCAAAACCAAGATGCGCCAAGAGAGTGTTGAACTCTTCGGCTTCCGATGTGTAAATGTTGAAGATGGAGTTGGTAGACAGACTCTAGATGCCGATCGCGGTTTATAGTCCTCGGTCTTCATAGCTGTTTATAGGTCAAGGAACCACCTGCATTATCCGCTGGCAAACGGCTTGACACACGCTAAGAACGCGTCTCACGGTCGCGTCAAAGGAATCAACGGTGTGACACTTGATGGGAAATGCATACAATGCGGTGTCGAGTCATTGAAAAAGCACAGTAATAGCGCGCCGACGTCAACGCCGCGCTGTGAGTTGGCGTACCGTCCCCGCAGTACCCGGATCTCCAGGCACAAACCCCAACCCGGCGATCGTAAGCTTCGGTTCTTCCACTTCCTATCGCTAAGTCCTCAGTAAATACCATCTACCTCTTACCTTGACGAAAGTGTTCATTTCGATGCACGAGATGCCGATCATCACGTGTGCTCATGCACGTCGCAACCGGGGATGTTCTTAGCTTGAATTAGGCCTGCGGCTGATGCGGCCATCCACCGCCATGAAGGCAACGACTGCAAACCGAAGAATCAGGGGACTCCAGGGAAGAATGGCTTTTGACGACAAACGCGACAGACCTCATCGACATTGAAGCATCTTCAATCCCATCCCAAGTCGAACGTACATCCACCCTCTCACCGTTACGCGCATGTGAACGAATATTTGTTGCAGCCAGAGCATGTAGCCGATATGGGTCGTTCACCATCACGATCGAGCGATGGCGCCGACTCTGGACAGAATGCGCGCGTTGAGCCGCGTCTTCTAAAGGTTATCGAGGATAAGAAACACGACGATGCGATCGCGATTATCGAGCATGCGAAAGCGAAGTCGCAACCCGTCGATCACCTCCTACGCATAGGTTTGATGCGCGCAGCCGAGCGCGGCAACATATACATCACGGAATACTTGCTCAAGAGTGGTGCGAAACCCGACGGCGCGCCAGGTGGCCGGGTTTCGCCTCTGTTCAAAGCAATTGAGAAGAATCATGTCGGGATTGTACAACTGTTGTTGAAGTTTGGAGGCAATGTGGATGCGCAAGACAAGCAGGGACGGACTGCACTCATGACGGCTGCTTGGAAGAATTACTTCCACATCATGCATGAGCTGCTAAGATGTGGTGCCGATGTCAACAAGAAGGACCATACAGGACGGAACGTGCTTCACAATTTGGCGGCAGACAAGCACTGCAACTGGGGGCGCGATGTCATCGCAGAGTTGCTGAGGCAGAACATCGCGATCGATGGACCGGAGGGTCAGGACGACCAGAAGCGAAGCCCGTTACATTGGGCTGCCAGTACTGGAAAGAAGGAGCTGTGCGAAATGCTACTAAGACGAACCAGGCTTCCGAGGGCGAACGTGAACGCTATTGAGATCAGGCAAAAGACAGCACTACACCTGGCAATCGCACACGGCCGAGACGACATCATCGAGCTTTTGCTCGTCCACGGCGCAGACGTGGGGGCAAAGAGCGATGGAAGCTGGACACCTTTACACAATGCTTGCCAACAAGGAAGTGTAAAGGTACTAAAGATATTGATGGCCGCTGGAGCAGACGTCAACGCGAAGTTACTCACTGGTATGACGCCCCTGCATGTCGCGGCGCAGGCTGGTCATTTCGACATAGTCAAGTGTCTCTTGGAAAGGAAGGATGTCAAACGAGCAGCCAAGGACAATTCTGGTATTACGCCATTCTTGCGTGCCGCACTAAGCAAGAGCCCTGCGCGCAAGGACATTATCAATGCACTAGCACCCCATAACCAGGTCGAAGCACTTAGCGAAGACGCCCTTGGCGCTACGAACGGTTTCCATGCTACTGTTGTCGACTTTGGCAATTTCCATAACGAAAACAACGTCTCAAGGAAATCTGTCTTCGAGCTGCTGTATGCCCGTGATGCTATCAATCCAAGGAAGCCAGCTGTTTCAATTCTACCCAAGGAATCCAAGGCGACAACCTTCCGATGGATCCATCTTCCTGCAAATAACATGGCCTGGATCGAGGCATTGCTCACAAAAGCATTTATTGAAGAAGGTGCCAGTGACGTGGAGGGCTTCAAGGCGCTTGAACGGTCCTTCAGCCACCAGCATCGAGGACAGCAGATTCACTCACACTTTATGCGACCACTATGTCAGAGCACACCGCGTGCACCGAAGCACCACGACGACTCAGACCTTTCTGATGGTGCCGATCAGATACCACAGATCATGGTAAATAGTGGTTTGGGCCTGGGTATTGATGCGGTAGCTGGTTCGCAAGAGCTATCGTCGTCACCATTCCCTCGCACACCTATGCGGACCAATACCCTAGATACAGATCAGACAGATGGTACTGCAGGGACGGGCTCTGGGCACGCGACTGCCAGGGAAGGGAGAAGTAAAGCAAAGGACAAACCCAAGAAGACACCAAAGTGGGGTGGATCCAAGCAAGCTGGCAAGCGATCTGGTGGAACAGAAACACCGACTAGAGGCCCAGAACACTATGCAAAACGAACAAATACCAGCTCTTCTCTCAACAATAGTGGCCACCTCAGGTCACCTGGTAGTCCAGGACGTAAAGACCCAACAGCCGTAGCGAAGGGCAACATCTTCGCCTTCATGCCCTACCTTCATTTCGAAACCGACCGACGGCGACAGGAAATGCAAGCTGCGATCTCGAGAACGCAAAAGATGAAAGAGCGCGAGAAGAATGAAGGAGGCACGTCCAAGCCGCAGTATTACCGCGCGTCAACTTACGATGAGATGCTTTTCAGAGCTCACTTGACATCCTCACAAGTCTCGTTGCACGTGCGACGCACTTTGGATCAGTTCTTCTACCACAACATCGATACGCAATCGCGAGATCGAGATCAAGTTGTTTATCGGTACCAATGCAAGTCGAACGAGCCGCAGCATGTCGACCCAAAAATCTTCATGGTTGACCAACTATGGATGTGGACACTCGGAAAAGACTTGATAGTGACGGCGTTCCCTCAACGATGGCAGCAGCCTCGTAACGACCCGCTCAACGTTCTTGATGGTGTCATTGAAGATATCAACAGCAAGACAAGAGATCCGGTGCGCAGTGTATATGACCTTGCGATGATCATCACTGGCCGCTGTAGTGGTGTTTTTGACAGACATCGCGTTGGCGACGAAGACTACCAGTTTCTGGACATGTTCGAGTCAAGTATTGGCGATGCTACTGAGATGGAAACCATGCTTTTCAAAGATTTCAACATTGCGTCGGCACAAGCATCAGAGTGGCTACATCATCACAGACGGCCCAATCGCTTCTCGAGACATCTAGAGGCTGAGGGAAGGCAAAGAGAACATCTGAACCGTCGACACTCGTCGCATCACTCACACGCGCATGCATTGGCTGATCCTCCGGTTCGAGAAGAAGCATTCGAGTACGACAACAGCGATCGAACAGCTGCTCATGCCCCACTATTCGTCGACAAGCTATTGGATATCGGCGCCGAAACCGACCTGCTAGCAGAGACCAAGGACATTCGTGACGAACTCAACATGATAGCGAAGGTGCTGGAAGACCAACGCAACGTATTGCCAGACATGGAGGCAAGCATCACAGACATATATCGCGAAGAGCACAAGAGTCAGCAAGACCTCAAGAGGCGGTTCAAAGACATGCTTAAGACGATTGACACACATGTCAAGGATCTCGAACGCATGGACAAGCAGGCCAAGCGCATCTACGAATCCATCACTGATCTGCTCGATCTGAAGCAGAAGCATGCCAACGCTTTCGAAGCACGTTTCGCTCGAGACCAGGCTGCTGGCACTGCAAGGCAAAGCCAGACCATTATGGTGTTTACGATTGTCACCATCATCTTCCTTCCTCTGTCATTCATCGCAGCCATGTTCACTATCAACATCCAAGAGTTTCCACATGAACCAGGAGGTGGTGAGCCTTCTCTCCCTCTATCATATGTCAGCAAATACATGTTCGGCATCGGCTTCGCAATCTCCATACCATTTATCGCCATCGCCCTTTCCTTCGATGCGATTGGCGACTTCTTCCGCGAATTAAAACAGCGTTTCCGCAAGCGCAAGACAGAAAATCAGCGAAGCCGACGCGAGGCCAATGACCCCTACAGTGGTATTGAGAAGACCGATTTCGAATACCCCTTTGACACACGCACAATCGAACAGGCACTCAGCCGCGGGCGCAGTACGGCATACCGCCCGGACGGCAGGCGTAGCATTGAAAGCTACCTCGGCAGTGCAAGGAGAACCGACGGTGGTTCGTTGCTTCCTATCGCTAGTCGCAGTACTGGGAGGAGCCCTGAGAAGGGTGTTGCCAAGGGCTTCAATGGCTTGACTGGAACGACCACGATGCCCGATAGATTGAGTGTAGACAGAGCTGAGAGACAGAGTCCGATCGAGAGGATAAGCACGGGGTTCAGGATGAGAGGAAGTGTGGATTTTGAACGTACTTGATTGGAATGAGGTTGGGCATTGCGCGTTGCGCTCGGAGTGTTGGAAAGGTTTGAATAAAAGCAGATACCCTAGCGCTGTTATGTACCAGTTTACTGATAGATGATTCAAGTTATGTTACGCATCTCGCAGCAGATCGCTTCATCAAGTTTTGCAGTCGCCTGGCACAGGCGAAACTTCAAATGTGGCAACCTCGATCTCATTCCGACTTTCTTGGAGGAGACCGCTTTCACCAAGAGCCTTCAGTCAGGTCTCCTCGTTTAATGCGTCCATGCTCATGTATGTCGCTTGCCTATTGAACTCAAGACTCCGCCTGGCTGTGTCCTCATAAATGTAGAACGCCGCATGCATAGAGGGCGCGTGGATATTCCACCGAATAGGTTCAACCTTCTTCTCTTCGACAAGCTCAGGTCCACACTCAGCCAAATCCAGAACTAGAACTTCAACTTGTGAACTCGGAGTCGCTACTTCCACGATATACTATGCCTGCATCAAGCACTAAAGAGACTCAGTACGGTCGTTTATCAATTGCGGGAGGAAGGGTTCGGTCGAATCGGAGTCCGGTGTTGCACAGGTGTTGAAAATTGCACTTTCCTGTTCAAAAGGAAGGAGATACTGTTTAAAGACCGCTCGATACCCCGTTAAATGCACAATCTGAATTTGATTAGTAGTGCGATAGGAGAAATGGACGCTTACGGCCGCAACCAATTTTTGGACAGGGTTACCCCACACAGACACGTTGTACTTGTGTATCACTTGGCTACAAGGTAGTGGCGTTGGACAAGGTGCCCAGCATGATCCGGGCTTCACCAGATCGCTATCTCTATGTTGAAAGATTGAAGAGTGGTCCGTGCCGGGACACGATCCGACAGTGTTGCGGACTTTTGGAGAACTAGCGGAGTTTAAGAGCACTATACATTGGAGCAGAAGCAGCACCTCATCTTGTTCAATTTCGTCCGGTCGTCTCTACGAAGTCCCTTGTTCCTCCGAGTGTCTCGGTGGTTTTCATATCTTGTCTTCAAAGCGCCATGTTGGGTCGTCCGTGGTTGCCGTTCTCTTTCGTCCGCAGCATAATGCGCTCGGCACTATCTAGGTACCTCAAATATATCCCACAAGCAGCTCATGCGGTGAGCCTATCTTAGAATACGTCAACTTCTCTCTCAAAAGTCTATCATTATGTTATCTTCGACCTTCAACCCAGACAATGGCATCCCGGATTTATCTGGTAAAGTCTATGTCGTCACAGGTGGGAACAGTGGAATGTAATGTGCAATGTCATACCGACGACATCCTTTAGCTAATCTATACCAGTGGGAAACAAACAGTGCTACATCTTGCTCAACATAACGCCAAAGTCTACCTAACTGCAAGATCGTCGGAAAAGGCACAGCGAGCTATAGAAGAGATCAGAGCACAAACCAAGCGGATGGATCTCAGAATTGCTGTACTGGTGATGGATATGTTGGACTTGCAATCTGTCAAGAGTGCTGCACAGCAACTTCTCTGGTACTCTACTTCGTCCTGCAATTGAATCGCTGCTAACTCTCATCTACAGCGAAGAAGACAAGTTGCATGGAATAGTGAACAATGCTGGTATAATGGCCGTCGCAAATGAGATATCTAAAGATCGATATGAGGTCCAATGGCAGGTGAGGTCTTCCTTTTCCATTTTGATGCTTAGCTAATTGAATGTGTCCAACAGACAAACTACATCGCTCACTGGTTGTTCACCTACCTCTTAATTCCGCTTCTCCAGTCTACGGCTGCTACAGAGCCGGTAGGTGCCGTCAGAATCGTCAACGTGTCGTCCGCAAACCACCGCATGGCGCCGTCTGAGGGCATTGTGTTCGGAGACATCAACCTCCAAGGCTCCGGATACAGTCCCTGGGTGAGATATGGACAAAGCAAACTAGCGAACTACCTCCATGCGCTCTCTCTTCACCAGATGTTGAACACAAAGGGAATCTGGACCTCGTCGCTGCATCCGGGTATCATTGACACGTGAGTTCGAGGTACTTCTTTCGCTCAATTCCTTTACTGACTGGGCCCACCGTCTAGCAATCTTACTGATCACGTCGATATGCCCGGCATTTCAATCCTATCCTCGAATCCCATGAGATGTTTATTTCGCGCAGTCGGCTTTATGATCAGCGCTGACAAGGGAAGCTGGACGCAGCTTTTTGCAGTTGTTGGAACAGACTTTACTGCAGAAATGTCAGGAGGCTACCTAGATCCAATTGCTAAGAAAAGCAAGATAATTATGCCGCGCAATGCACCAGAAGATTTGGGCGAAAGACTATGGAGATGGACAGAGGAAGAGATGAAGACGAAAGGCTACATTGGCTAAAAGACATACGATACGGAATTGCTCCCTCCGCCATTGCTTTCGTCTCAGCACAGACAATTTTCGTATATATTTCGCAAAGATAGTCACCGAAAGGCTGATCTCTTGCCTCCCTGTACCTGTGTCATGACTCATTTTGAGTCAGCGCCATCCTTCGCGTATTGTGGCTTGGACATCAATGACTCCGCCGTGATCATTCTCCTGGCTCTCTTGTATAGAAGCAATCGAATCCATGAATACTCATGATAGCATACACGCTTTTCTCAACGTCTTAAGTTCAAGTATAAGACTCAAACTCCACGCAACTAGCTTCTTCCGGTTTTTGCTCGTCCACAATGAAGGCTGGTCATTCTAACTATTCGCATTCAATGCAGCACGAGATGTAGGTCATGCGATATAAAACCAAGACGTATTTGCAGGTCACTAAGTGTAGCAAGGAAAAATCCACATCGCACATCGGATGCTGGGTATCTTCCGGTCGAGTGAGCTACGCACACTGATATCAGCGACGTACGACTAATCGAATCATCGCAGAATAACCCAGGAAGAACGCCTATTCGAATTCTACGAGCGGCATCGTCAATCGCAGCTTGAGTTTTGCTCTGCATTTCATGCAGCCCTGCCTCGTGAGCTGAGAGATATGGTTTATGACCAGATCGTTACCCCACACAAGCAACATTACGTTCTGAAAGCGCATGAAACCTTCAACGATGAGACTGGAAAACTAGAACACCCTTTCTTCGATGCTGAAATATCCATGCCAGAAGATCCTGGTATGCGTAGCGACGTGTGGAAGTTCGTCGAGTACACGGGCGAAGCAGTGGGCAAAGAGATAGCCGAGCACTGGTATCGTACCGGTCGCTTCAATTTTGATCCCGAGGATTGTCTGTTGAAGAGATTTCTTACGACAGATGTCTGGCACCGAGGGATCGTCCCTGCAGACGTTGTTCATTGGCTCCTCATGAGTTTCAACCCTATACCGTACATTGTCCCTACTGATTCCATGGAGGCCGACCTGGAAAGCTTGTTCACGATATCAAACAAGAATAGTGTCCTCGTTTTCAAAATCGACAAGCAAAGATATCACGCTGCGTCGGGGAGTCGCGGCATGTTATCCATGTTAGCGTTAATCGCACCATACGTTTATCGTCTGCGCACTGAGGGCTTTAGCAGAGTGGCAGCGTATCAAGACTTGATCGATCTGGATAGCAAACCGTTCCCGTGGAAGTTCTGTCCATGGGATATCACGTATCTCTTTGAGATGGAGCAGGAGGAATTCGAAACAGTGTTTCGCAAGGTAAGCCATCGTAAAACTGGTGAGAGCGAAATTATGTACTGACATTGGTTAGGAGTTTGGACGCGATGATGAACGAGATAAAAGGATCGCCGAAGTGATCTCTAGACGTCCTGGTGTTGAATAAGATGGTGAAACCGATTGAGGGTAGTCTATGATCATGAGAGAATTCTCTTTGGACGGCTATCAAGCTGGATCGTATCGATGTGTACAGATTTTGGAAGACCCGACTTGGTGTACACAAGATGTGCAGTCCCCTTTATCTCATAAACCTCGCTGGTCATTCACTCGTCGAAATTCTGCCCATCAATATCTTCGATAGGGACCTTTGATAACAACCTTCAGTTCGAGGACTGCGCATCAACGACTTCCATACACGCTGAGATAAGAGCGTCAATGTAAAATTGTCCTCTCAGCCAGACCGAATCGCATAGCCGCATATCTTCATCCTTAGCATGCTCGTGAAAGTTGCAAGGATCGCCCAGGCCCTCCGCAAACCCTTGGCCTCGCTGCTCACCAATAGCCAATAACTCAGACTTGAACTCTTGGGGCTGTGACTTCGCGACCTTGTCATTGTAGTGTTTCAGGAGCCCGTGACTTGCCGTTGATCTGACGATGTACCTACAGAGCGTAGAGGAAGACGGAACGGATCCAAAAATCAAGGGAGCCAGATCGAAGCCCATATTAGAATTTGATCGTGTGTCGAGACGCATGAAAGCACTCATGATGTCGTTTCGCAGGGCCATACACTCATAAGCGTCGGCGAAGATGTAGAGGCCAATCAAATGACGCTTGAGAGCGAGTTCGGTGTTTTCAGAAATCAAATCTTGGATCCAGGTACCAGAAAAGGATGCTGGGTCAAACTTTTCAAAATTCACGACCTGTCCAAGTTCTGCCAGGGAAGGGGCAGACACGGGGTGCAGCGAACGAGCAGTTTGTAGGTAAATCCAAGACTGAAACAGAAGACAGGAAGTCTCATCGGCCTCGGCAAGATACAGTGTATTTTCTTCGCCTTCCTTGAACCTGGGTCCAAACGCGCGAGAGAAGTATTCTGAGTGTCGGCGAATGAGTTTCTTGTGGAACGTGAAAGGCTTTTTGTCGGGGCCTACGACCACTTGCACCATCTCACGGCCGAGCTCCCTGCCTGTTTTAGTATATATGCAATTGATAGAGGGTGTACGCTACATGATATGTGAGTCTGTCTCGGAATCGGCTGCACGTGTGCTACTGAGGAAGATGTAGTGGAGGGAAAAAATTCAAAACTAAAACACACAAAAGATGAAAGTCGAGTAGCCTGATTCGCAAAATGAAGGTGAACGAGCGTGAGCACATGGGCCTCATGGTGAGGCCATTGTCGGTATGGCCGCTCTCACCTAGGTGAAGAGACCTCCAGCCTTTGGCTATTTGGGGGTTAGTTCAGACCCGAATACTTCTATTACATCTTAGTGATGAGCATTATAAGGCTTTGCAGAACTTTCTACTGCTAAGATGATGAAAAGGTCGCAGAAGAGCATGAAGAGCGAGGACGCGAACTGACATGGTGCCATGCCAACCCCGGCTTATCTCCGCTCCATCGCCGAAGTCCAAGCTCCAAGCTTAGGCGTCACCAACAACCAGATGCGCTCGTAGCTGTAGCGAAACTCAGCAGCACGGTGAGGAAGAGTACAGGGGCTGTGAATCGTCGCGCGAATAATGAGTACGAACCTACAATAGCTGAGAGCTGCACACCAAGCCCACCATGGCTTACGATACCTCGAGCGGGTATGCGCCGCCTAGCACGAGCAACATGCAAGAGGATGCGTCGGGCCCTATGTTCAACATAGAGCGCGTCACTCTACAGTTCAACATCTCCTCCGACTTTGTGGCCGCTGCCGTAGCGAACAATGTGGTGGTACTGGCCTTGTCCACTGGGCGCATCCTGCGTATAGACCTTGATAGTCCCGCTGATATAGACGGTTCGTAGGGCAAAGCCGCACAAAGAAGGAAAATGACGGACAATTGCTTACTTGATTCAAGACATCGACCTACCGAAAAAGCCGTCAGAAGTCGGCGTCATCAGACGACTTTTCCTCGACCCCTCCGCGTCCCATCTCATCGTAACCACTACCCTCGCCGAGAACTACTACCTCCATACACAATCACGGACACCGAAGGCGCTATCACGGTTGAAAGGTGTCGTCATAGAAAGCATATCGTGGAATCCCTCTCAACCTACAGCGTCGACGCGCGAGATACTTGTAGGAGCATCGGACGGCAATGTCTACGAAGTGTATATCGAGCCGTCCTCCGAGTTCTACAGAAGAGAAGAGAGATACCTGAAGAGCGTGTATAGGACAAACGATGGCCCTATCACGGGGCTCTGGACAGATATGGTGCCAGGAAGAACAGATCTGCGGCGCATCATCGTTGCGACACCTTCGACCTTCCTGCATTTCGCAGGCAAAGTCGGACGTCAAGGATCCGAAGGCAGCGGATCTATATTCTCGAAATTGTTCGAAAGCGAATCTGCGACAGTGCATGAGGTGTCGAATGTGGCCTCTACAGCAACTTCACTACTCTCTGTCTCCCCAGAGAACCAGGAGAACCCAAATCGCGAGGAATCGAACGCGGAGAGGATCTTTGGTTGGCTTACGTCACAAGGCGTGTTACACGGCAAGCTGTACTTATCGCAAGATACCTCTGAATTGGGCAGCAAAGTTCTAGGAGACGCGAAGATGCTGCCCAGATCCCAAGTACCACCTTCACAAACTGCTAGCGGACGGACACGACGAACACAAGACGCAGTCAGCTCGATGATATTGAGCCAGTGGCATATTCTACAGCTCGTTGAAGGCAGAATCGTAGCCATCAACCGCCTGGACGATACTGTGGTCCTTGATCAGGTTGTGCTGGAGCCCGGACAAAGTGCGCTTGGCCTGGTGGTCGACTTGAAGAAGAATACTTACTGGCTCTTCACAACCCAGGAGATCTTCGAAATTGTTGTGACCGACGAGAGTAGGGATGTCTGGAAGATCATGCTCAGAGCACAACAATTCGAAGCGGCTTCACAGTATGCCAAAACGCCAGCTCAGAAGGATGCAGTGGCAACAGCATCTGGTGATTATCTCGTTGGAAAGAGCCAATGGATGGAGGCTGCGACAGTCTACGGCCGAAGCACGAAACCTTTTGAGCAGGTTGCATTGACGTTCATCGACAACGGCGAGCAAGACGCTCTGAGGAAGTACTTGGTCACGAAGCTCTCCACTCTCAAGAAGTCGTCAATCATGCAGAGGACCATGGTCGCTACCTGGTTAATTGAGCTCTATATGGCTAAGCTCAACACTCTCGACGACACTATCACTACAAAGGCGGAGCTGTCAGAGAGTATGAACACTGCTGAAACCCATGATCAATTGTCGGTCATCCGTAAAGAGTACCAGGACTTTGTATCGAAATACAAGGCTGACCTGGATCGCAAGACCGTCTATGAGATCATCAGCAGCCACGGTCGCGAGGAGGAACTGCTGTACTTCGCTACTGTGGTCAATGACTATAACTACGTCTTGTCGTACTGGGTGCAGCGCGAGCGATGGCAGGAGTCTTTGGATGTCCTCAAAAAACAGACAGATCCAGAGATCTTCTACAAATACAGTTCCGTTCTGATGGCACATGTGCCTGTCGAGCTGGTTGACATTATGATGCGCCATTCGACGTTCGACGCCCAAAAGCTCATCCCAGCTTTCCTCAACTACAACAACCACACCAAAGCCTCACTTGCCCAAAATCAAGCAGTCCGCTACCTCCTCTTCGAAATCAACCAACACAACTCTACCGACGCGGCCATCCACAACACTCTCATCTCTATCTACGCCTCGCACCCGACCCCCGACGAATCCGCCCTTCTCGCCTACCTCGAAGGCCAATCTCTCGCCCATGAACAAAACTACGACGCAGACTTTGCCCTTCGCCTCTGTATCCAACACAAACGTGTCCAATCATGTGTCCACATCTACAGCTCCATGCAACAATACGTGCAAGCCGTCGACCTCGCCCTGAAGTACGATGAAGTAGACCTCGCGTCCACCGTAGCCGACCGGTCCAACACATCACCCCCTCTGCGCAAGAAGCTCTGGCTCGCCATTGCCAAGAAAGTGATTTCGCAATCCAGCGGCATCAAGACGGCTATCGAGTTCTTGAGAAGAGTCGACCTACTCAGAATAGAAGACTTGATTCCCTTCTTCCCTGATTTCGTCGTCATCGACGACTTCAAAGAGGAGATTTGTGCTGCGCTAGAGGACTACAGTCACAAGATCGATAGCTTGAAACAGGAAATGGATGATAGTGAAGCGACGGCTACACACATCAAATCCGATATCAAAGCCCTGGAGCAGCGATATGCTATTGTGGAACCGGGGGAGCGATGCTACGTCTGTGGTTTACCCTTGTTGGCTCGCCAGTTCTTTGTGTTTCCCTGCCAGCATGCTTTCCACAGTGATTGTCTGGCTAAGAGGGTGGTGGAGCTTGCGGGTATTGCGAGGGGGAAGAGGATTGCGGAGTTGCAGGCTGAGGTGCAGAGAGGAGTCAAGGTGGGCAAGGGCAGTGAGAGGGCGATTAGGGAGTTGGATGCTTTGGTTGGGAGTAGCTGGTAAGTTCTTCTTGCTGTATCTTTTGAGAACGGATTGCTAACGTGAATAGTGTGTTGTGCGGTGAACTTGCTGTTAAACTCGTCAACGAACCTTTTATCAGCGCGACGGACGACAAGGATGAATGGGCGCTTTGAACAGATTACTACTACGTTGGCATCACAAGCAGTCGTTTCAAGTCAAAGTAGAGGATTTCGAAGAAAGCTCTATTGTACATTTACTTGACTTGCTACTCTATTCCGCCCCCGTGCGTGTGGTATACAAATTTTAGTGGTGCTATAGAATAGACGAGCTGATGATGATTCATGTTCCGTCCCCAAGACGCCGTAGCGCTGATGCAAGAATGTGAGATGGAAAACTATAACAGTGCAGAAGATTAGACAAGATATTTCAAACGCCGAATGCGAGCCTTCCTTCAGCTCCAAAGCTATGAGACTTGACCATGAGTTGACACGAGACGACTTTACTCGTCTTCGTCATCATCCATGGCAACGTCGCCATTCGCCTTCGGTGCAGCGACAGCGTCGTCATCTTCGTCTTCGTCGTCGACGACGCGGGCTTTGCGGGGACGGGGAGCTGCAGTTGCGGCACCTTCATCGTCACTGCCCGCCGCCGCGTTAGCATCGTCGGCAGGGCCGGCAGCCTCTTCGTCGCTCTCATCGTCGATGAACTCTGCCGACTTGTATTTACCGGCAGGTTCGCTCTTACGAGCCAGCTTCCTCTTCTTCTTCTCACGGGGTCGCTCTTCGTCGGATAGATCCTCGGTGCCACTAGCCGTAGTCCTCCTGCGCCTTGAACGCGGTTCATCGTCGTCAGAGGGCAGACCATCATCGGTGTCAGAGTCAGCGTTCTTCTTCTTCCGCTTCGGGCCCTTAGGACCGCGCGCTTTCCGCTCTGCCTTGCGGACTTCCTTGTCCTCATCCTCTTCCATGCGTCTACGCTCTTCTTCATTGCGTTTCTCCATGAGCTCGCGGTCACGCTGGAGGAGGCGCTGTTGCTCTTCGGCGTACTTGCGCTTCTTCTCCAAAGCCTCTGCCTCCGCGCGTGCCTTCTCTTCCTCACGGCGACGTACTTCAGCTTCGCGAATACGACGCGCTTGGTCGAGCTTGGTCGCGTTCTCCCCCTCGTATATTGCTTGCTGCTCGCGATCACGCTCAAGCTGCTTTGCGATGGTGTTGCGACCCATGTTTGCACGAGAGGTAATGTCTGCACGTGGGAAAGGTGGTGTCTCCTCCTTGGCGAGCTTGTCGAGTGCTTCGATCGCCTCAGTCAGACCTGTTGCAGCCTCATCGACTTCTTCAAGCGTGCGCTGCGTCTCTTTGAGCTGGTGAACCTGTGAAGCAATCTGGAACTGGACAAAGGCGACATTGAACTGGGAGTTGAGGTCTGCAGGAGCGGCCTTGAGGGCTTGCTTTGAGTAGTCGAGAGCTGTTCGGTATCCGGCAAGGCTTCGTTCGTGTTTCGCTCGGAGATACCAAGTTCGTCCTAGACAAGCCAAAATC